CCGGAAGCTTGTATTTACAGCGTGAAATGAAAAGACCGAAATGAAGATAACCAGTGATGGATGAACTGGATTTTAGCCAAGAAAGAACCGACTGAAAGTCTACATTCGTCTTAACTCTTTAAGAGCCAGGCATCCCCCATATATTTTTAGTAAAGCGGGCTAATTTTATAGATATCTCCTTCCGGGAGAAGCCATGTCTTCAAGGTTAACTCGACATTTTGTCTATATATCGTCATAAATATGCAGAAATATTTCGAACGGTCGGTAATTTCGTTTCTGCACAGATGAATTCCTGTCCGAGAATGTTTTAGCCATCCAGCTGCAACCGATACGCGTATCTCTGGGGAAAGCGGCTACTGTTAAACAAACATGTTTACGGAAATGTTTGTATGGATTATAGACTTTACGAGCATTTCTATTGGCCGCGAGCGCAGTTAATATTTTCCCTTCTTTGTCTGGATTTTGTATACCCATTGATAATAGATGTGCCAAAGTACAAATTTTCTAGAACCGCTCTAGAAAGTTTGGTTTCTTTCGCGTAAATAACTGTTTGTTTTTTTTTTCTGGAAGTTATTTATAGTCGCGTAAGTGGGCTGTTATTGAAAGTGCTTGCTCAGTTCTGTTTCACCTAATCAGCGTTTTCTCTTGCGATAATGTTATTCCTGATAATTATACTTTTACGCCTGTACTGTACGCGAAGAATGGACAATAGGCAGCCATCCTTATATTGTTCTTTAACAATACATTTGTAAGTTGTAAGGTAGAAAGAAGCCGGTTAAAGGCGAGAAACTCTTCTCGAATCGAAGCTAAACAAAGCAAAACGCTTGTTTCCTCGCCAGTTTGGAGATTAAAATCTAGGTCGATCTATATTCTGCCCGGTAATATAAATACACTATTACTAGTTGCTTAATCGGGGCAAGTATTGTTTCTTTTGCCGTAAAGAAAGGCTTCCTGATGTATTTATAAATTTCGCGACATTGCAGTTAGCCTTTATCGTTAACCCTGTTTAAAACTGATTAAAATGGGGTAAATATATATGTATGTATGTAATAACGATCGTATCTAGTAGTAAAGTGTAAGATGTTATGACAGTATAGACATCTGTCGTGTTAAGAAGAAAGCATTTTTTCGTCAGAATGCGGCCCCGTTCTGTCTGGTCTCTCACTTCCTCCCCATCTCCCCTTGTCGAGTTGCGGGGAGGAAAGCAAAGCGGGTGTGACGTCAGCCGACTGTTGTAGACACACCCACTTCCAGTGTTCTATTGTCTGAGTCTGGCAGGTGATGGTAGTGGCCGCGTACGCTTTCCACTGTGGATATTAAAAGCTGTGGCGAACAGGTGAGTCGCGATATTGTTTAATGGATCACTTTGTTCCATCTTCGATGGCAGAAAAATCTCCTCTCGAGGACGACCGCCATTATCTCTGGAGACAAAATTATTCTAATTTACTGGCTTCGCCTTCTTTGTTGGGATCGTAAATCGTCTCGAGTGTTCTTATCTGGAAAGGGTTCGATTCTAATCGTTAAAGTTAGTTGGAATCGATAGAATGCGTCGTATTTATCGTTAGCGGCGGCCCTATTTTTATATTGAAAACGTGTAAGAGCATAATTAACAGTCGTTCCATTGTGTCTATTTAACAAGTGATATCGTCGGCAGGAAATCGTTCTCGACTCGGAGGGGAAAACTGACACCGGATATACATCTGCGGAAACGGTGACGCAAGTAGTGGAGGGGACGAAGGAATTCTGGGAAGACTACTTCCGAATGTAAGCGACCCAATAATAGCATTCTGGGAAAGAGAATGAAAGATATCGAGGCGTGCCTACCATGCATCCTAATCTGGGTGGGGATAAAATGATACACTAAGCACCATGGGCGGGGAGCGAGGTTTTTAAAGTAAGAAAAATGGTCCGTACGGCGGTGGAAGAAATTTCCTAATTGCAGATTGTCTTCCATTTATAAATATTTCGAGGGTCCGGATACCTGTTACTAGGTATCTTTTGGAAAATTAGTAAATTCAAAAATGTTTCCGTGCGCTTTCCGTTAAAATCCGCCCGAATGGTTGATGGAGATAGCATTTTTGAGAGGACAATCGCATCGATTCGGCCATTTCCACACGACGTGTCTCGATAATTAAGCATGCATGACAGGTCGTGTATTCGCTCCGTTGTGTAAGCAGAATGACACAGCCACGATTTCCAACTAATGACAGAAACATTACGGACCGACGAGGATAGTTTGTACGACAAACAACGCATCGTCGCCAGGTGATGGAGCCATTCTATCAAAATATTTGTTCGACGTAATGAAAAATTTTGTCGCTGACATAATTAAACAAATTGGAATTAAGACGGCCAGGATTTATTCTAGAATTGATTAGCAGATCGCTGTTTATGGTGTAGCTCGGCTAACGTATTGCAACTGGAAGCAGTGTTGTTCGAGCCGTCATGCGTGCCAAATGACTATTCGGTGATTGTATCGAGAGGAAATATAAAAATCCCATTCGTTCGACCTCTGCTCATTGTTTTAAAGCGACCTCGCCACTCGATTGATTCTTTGAATTCTGTTCGACTCGGTTTAGATCTATCTCCTAGTAACACTTAGGAGAAAACCTCGCTTATATCTAATTTGCGTTGGGCACTTAATATCAAACAGAAAACTTCATATAAGAAAAGAGAGAGAAGAGAAAGAAACAAGGAAATTAAACTGAGAAAAGATCGCCTATCTATCGAGGTGAACCACTTTGCATAGCAATGACCCAACTTTCATTTTTATCGTCACGCGATACAAGTACCACTTCGGCCTTCCTACCGCTTTCCAAAACAAAGAACCCCCACATTCGGTAGGACGAAGTGTAATTCTCCAAGGAATTAAATGATGTAACATTACCTCTAAACAATTATAAATGACTTGTTTATACCGAGGTACTCTTTCAGTATTGAATAATGTTCTCTTTCCACTGTTTATCCGTGTTCGTTCTCGATTGCACTCGTTTCGATTGTGTTGTTGAAAATCTTTACGGTTTACAAGTCCAAAGATAACAAGAAAGTATTCTCTCGACTACTTTAGAAGGAAGAAGAGGGAAGAAAAAACTTTACAGGAGGTCTGTCCCAGATTTTCTTTAAATTCTCTTTGTGTTTTAACGAGTTAGTGGACGTACCGATCGAGTTTATGCTAGAAAATTATGGTAGTCTTGCTTTTAAATTCTTACTACTATTGTCTTGTTAATGGAATCTGTTATTGATCTTCATTTCTAAAAATAGTTGTATTAATGGCCTATTCATTAATGCAGGAAACTGTTCAATAGAATTATCCGTGCTTTTAAGCTTCCCCTTCTCGCAATTCAAAGACTATCTCGGCTTATTTAAGATATGTATTTTTTTCTTTTTATTCTTTTAAGTCTTTTAGAACGCTATTTAGTTTTTATGATGCTACACTTCGAGAAGTTAATTTCCTCTAAAAGGCTGGACTAGTAAAATTGATCAAACTCGAGTCTCGAGAGACTTATTCGATGTTTAAAATAGTAAATTATCTCCCTGTCATCGACGTTGATAATCTTTGTTAGTCAGCTCTCAAGGTTCTCGTTTCTTTTGTTTTAATTCCTCGGCTCACGTGATTGAGTCGAATTTTTTTTTTAAAGGGTAGAACACACTCCAAGCTTGTTTAAATTGGCAACCGTAAATTTTTAGAAGTGTTTCTTTAAAGGTCGTTTGGTGTAAGATAAGCGATTTGTCTCGGTTATATATTTTTCATTTTTCCTCCTTCTTTTTCTTGCAGAATTTCAAGCCTCTGGTAGATAAAATTGGTTTGGCAGAACAGAGCAGAAAACCAATCGAATATCTGGTGGATAAACGACTGGGGTTTACAGAATACATCGACCTCAAAGTTTATCAGGTGAGTTTGGTATTGATTTGGATCCGGTAAATCAGTTTTGCCGAGAATAACCCGCGCTGGTAACACTGTCTACGTGGTTAAGGCCAGCGACGTGTAGGAATATTCCCGGTTTACAGACCAAAACACCAGCTGGGAGTGTGTCTTTATGTTACATTCCCCCTCCTTTCCAGAGGGAAAATTTTCAAACAGGAAATGTCTGGTGGCATTATCACGTGTTCGATGTTAGACGACTTAGCATTTTGCCGGTTATGTAAAAGATGTGAAATGCGGATTTGTGTAAGGTACAGCTCGTTAAAAAGAGTTCTAAATGTGAAATTTTCATCGTTAACATTTCGCCCGAACAGAAACGAGATGGCACGGTAAATATGTATACAGACTTATTCCTACTTTTAGTTTGTTAAACTTTTATTTGTCGAATTTGTTTTCTCCGGATGTTAAATTTAAATATTTGGACCAGACGCAGATGTAGACAACTTCTTCTCTTTGGCAACTAACAACGTTTAGTTCGTTTTAAAGGTGACAGAAATCGGCCAAATAGCAACAGAAATAGCTGTTTCTGGAGTGTTGTCGATGATGAACATCCGTCTTTTTTTTCATCTCTACCCTTTTGCCAACTAAAAGAAAGACTTGTTTATTTGTTTTTGATTCATTTGACTCGCTTCGTGTATTGGATACTTACTTCTTTCTTATGTAAAAACACTCTTAGAATTTCTATATTTAGATTCTTTATTCGTGCATTAATACTACTTTAGGAATAAGATCTACGAGGCACTGACACAAAATGGATTCTAAACGGGGGGTACGCTTTGGAAGGGTTTATATTTTTGTAACGACAAAATTTTAAACGCCTTATGGGAAAATAAATAAATAGGAGACCACCACCGGTGTTTTATCTTGCTAAAAACTGCCTTTTATTCTTTAGTTTAATGAAAATTTACGAGTTGCAGAATCAGTTTCCGTAAGAATTTCTTAAACGAACAGTTTACAAGAACATTTTAATTCCTACCAGCATGTTTTTCTTCGTCGAATTTTATTTTTTTTTTATCTTTCTGCAGAGCTCTTTACCTGCGATTCGACCTCGACTATTAGAGAAAAATCGATAGATGGACGACCGTTGCCTATCTCGTGACGTGACAAGCCTTAATTTATTTAATTCTGTAAGCTTTGGAGATAGAACCCGTGAGTTTGATACCAATCTCTTTGTTGATCTTTTGACACGACCGTAGACCAAAAGTTCTCCGGGGAATTAACATAAGACGTCGTGTTGCATAAATAAAACCCAGAGATTTCCTTTCTTACGTCGAGAATGATCCTCCATAAATGGGCTTTTCACTTTTAATAAGCTTGTTTCTGCCGGTTTTTGATCTCTTTTACGGTTTTCTGTTTAAAGTTTTGCGACCTCCACCCCAATGGTTTTTATGCAGATGAATCTTCGCATCGAGAGAGAATACATTTTTCGATTCTCATTCAGATAGATATGTACCGGAATTTATCATTTAAATAAACAAAGTTTCGCTATCCAAAGACAAAGTAAAATCATGTTAATAAGAAGATTTACAAGTTTTAACGTGCAGACAGATACTACCGTTTAAAAAGGCTAATTAGTCTTTCGTTTCCACTTTAAGAATTTTTATCTTAAATTTTAATTCAGTTAAATTTGGTTTAGTAATTTATTAAAGTGACCGATTAGATTTACTTTCGAAAGATAAAGTTGGCACATTAGACCGGGCGAAAACGATAGAAAAAGGAAGAAAAAAATTATAGTAGTAGTAGTATTAGATTAACCTAAATAGGGAAACCAAAAAAGTTATCGTGTGTGCAGAATAATTGCTTCTTTTTTTTTTCTTTTCTCCTATCTCTCTCGACTTGTTAACGAAATAGGCCTGGACGTATATAACTACAACATTCTGCAGCCCATCGAGCTAAGAACAAAAAATAGATAAGCGGCTAAATTAGTATAGAATGTGATTAGTGTCCTTTGTTACAAAATTCGCTTCGTCAGCATGAAGCAAGTTATAATTATTAATTCGTTATTCAGTGTTTTTCCGACGAGAGAATGACTATGACTCTTTAGGTAATAAGGCCGAAGCATAGAGAGAGAGATTTTTATAAGCTAGTCATGGCGAAAATATGCAAGAAAGTTGTTACCATCACAATTTATTTCGCTAGAAAGTTTACGCAATTTTATTTCTAATGTTTTAGATTATAATTTTGACTTGGAGCCGTCGAATAATCCATGTTTTGATCCGGAATGATCAGTTTCTAAGTAGAGGCGACGAGGCTTTATGCTGTCTACTCTATGAAAACATTACGTAGAATTCTACCCGTATTGTTAATAGTAGAGGTTTCTAGCAATTAAAGAATTAATTATTAATTATACAAAAAGGGAACGTTCGGCTTGGTGTAGATTGAATTACCAGATGATACTTGGCCAACTATTTAATGAGTTCTTTTACCTGCGTTCGGCATTGGGAGTATTTTTAAACCGTGGTATATCCTCTCCGTCCAAATAATTTGCCAGAGAACGATCGTGTGTCGTATTGCAGCATTTCGTGATATAGTAAGTTTTTATTATGTAATCCTATCTGCCACAGCAATAACTTTGACCCCGAAGCTCGGCATGATTCAGCAAGACAGAATGGATACCACGTTCACGAGTAGCATGATATGTCAATCTGAAAATGTTGCCAGTTCCAAGCGTCTATATTGATAATTCTCGTGGGGATTAGTCATCTTTTTATCACTCTCGATATTTTTGGATTTATTCGTTTTAAAAGGAAAAATAGATGCGATTAATTTTCGGATACCGTGTTGCAAGATGGCGATAGCGATGAAAGAGAGTTGGAGATGAAGTTAGAGTAGAATTTATAGGCCCAAAGATACAACGAAATGCGTTGAGAGTTAGCAGGAACGTTTTAAAATACAGTACAGTATATGCTTTTAACTAAGAATGGAGTGTACTGTACGTTGGCTGAACTTTAGTTAAAATAACAAAACGGAAGTTTCTTTTCTTCACGCACTGATTTATTTAAGAAGCGATAATGCAGATATTCATTATTAATAATGCAATTTTAAAGATTGAGGTAAAGCAGGTAAAAGGGGAAGCACGAAAGCTATTCATTCTTTTTTTTTGCCAAGTCGATTCAGCCAAGTGGAAAAGCGAAAATCCAACTCTTCTGCTCAATAAATTGAAGAAATTCTGTTCGGAAGAACAGACTCGAGAACAGAATAGTCGTCGATGCATGAAGTTCGATCGATGATGAGTTCTGGCTCGAACACTCGACAGAAACACGCCAAATACCGTGATGGCCTACTACATTGCCAGCCACAATTATTTAGGAGGAGGACTGTCCTTGAAGCAAAAGGAATGTCCAACAAACCAACAGAATCGAGGTAACGATAATTGAAATCGTTATTTTTTTTCGGGAGTGATCCATCAAGAATTACACCAAAGACAGATCGCTTCTAGGACATGTTAAGTGCGGGACAGATCTCTATGTAACGAGATAAGAAGGTAATCATTCTCCTCCGTATCCAAGAATAGTAACAAATTTTAACAAGGTGAGACTGGATCGAATAGTACTCATTCCAGTTTTTAAAAATATTTTATCGAATGTCATTCGGTGTGTAACGGATTATATGGCCGTCGACGCTTCCAATGGGTTTATAAATACCAATTAGGCACGTTGACACTCGAGGATGTAGCTTTACTAGATAACGCCCTTCACGCCGCATATGCCCTACATAAACAAGTTTTGCTTTTTTTTGTTTAAGGTAAAGGTTGAAGTAAATACGCCGTATTATCGTAGGCCACATTGGTCTCGCGCCATTAAAACTTAAGGCACGAGTCGACGAAATTTGGTCAGCTTCGTCACGATGGAGGCGTGAGAGAATAGTTTAGAAACCTTCAGGATCCAATCTTGGCCTCTGGTAGAACCAGTCTTTTCCAGCCTTAGTAAGTCCGGAGATGAGATTGCGGCCGAAGTCGGGGGTGAGATTATAGATAAGTAACTCCGGATTCGTGCACCTATGGTGCCGCCAACGGCATTACCGGGGCACGAATGGCATTTAACTTTTTGTTTGGTGTTAGTTACTCTGCTCCGTATTTTAATTATTTATAGATTAAAGAGTGAGAGGAATCCTTAATTGCCTTCCTTCTCTTGCTTCTTTCTAAACATCTAAATAACATTATTGACTCGGTAGAGGGACATAAAACGGGACAAGAGTCAGAGACGATAATGCCTTCTTTCCAATGACAGTAATAACAGCAGCCATCATTCTGCACGTGTAGCGGTATAGATCCACTCCGGTTCGATAGCCATTCTGGCCCGTCATCCACTTTATTGATTGCAGGAGCTTGTTGTTACACGTTTCTTCCGCAATTACAAATTTAAATGGAAAAAATCTTATAAACGAGCCAAGCTTTGACTCCAAACAAGCGTGTACTGTAAGTTACGCTGCCATTAAACGTAAGAATGCCATAAATCTCTGCCACCTCTACATCTGGAGAGTGAATGAGGGTCGGGGGCCAACTAGCTCCGACCTTTGAACCTACTGCAGTATGTATACGGTATCTAGTTTCCTCCTGCTCGGTGTCTGTAAATTGTTGTTACTCTCGAAAAACCCACCGTATAATTCTTCAAATATTTAATGTAGTGGTGCAGCTGCGACGTCCGGATATCCTGGAAATAAGGAATGCTTCGACGACACCACAAGTGGATGCGTCCTTTATTATGGCGCTAGCAGTTTTAGCGCGAGCAGAATGGAGCAGGGCGCATAAAAACTCGTAAATACTAGAATGTGGGTCATAGCCGAGAAACGCCATAATTGATTATTATTTCCAATCGAAGTAAAGTTTTCGATAAGCCGGAGAACAGGTATCCCATTTTGCTGGAGCATTTACTGCCGAGTCGACTGAAGCCAGTGTAAACATCCACCTCCAGGTTGTCGGTCGGTTACTAAGCAACCTCTAGGCTGACGTCATCAGCTCGCCCAACCGCAAATAAACCAAGTTTGGGCCGTGCGAGTGTGAGGTCGCTGCTGTTCTGACACACAATTGCGAGCCTTTGCTCGACGCGACAGTTGCTCCTTCTGTTTGGTGTGATAATCGCAATTTTTTTTTTGGAATATACATCACTGTTTAGTAGAGAGGTGAGTGTTGTCACATTCTTCCCTTTTATATAATTCCTTATTTTCGGCATTGGGCGTTGGCTTCAGTCGTTACTGCGCCTTTTGTCTACCATACGTACGTACTCACGCGGAATTTTTGCCTTATTAGTCAGGTAGTAAAATTAGTCATTGTTCATTGCCAGCGTAATTTCCGGGTCGAGTTAAAGATCTGTTTCAAGTTTTTAATATCCGAAAATAGGACGCGGTATCCAGATTAGTTGCACTTTTTTTATTCCCGAGTTTGTTTGTTGGCTCTACTTTTTTTTTTTTCTGTTGGGGAAGAAGCGAGACAGAATAGCGCCACTAATTACTGACTACGGATTGTCATGCCAGACCAGCGATGAAACGCGGAACTGGGCTAAGCGCAGCGGGGGGCGAGTTTTACGGTCCCACTGACCTTTGATTTACGATGGTTGGCTGTCTCATTATGACTCTTCTAGACTCCGGCGCTGCTTCTATTGTGCAGTCCTCCGCGTACAATAACTCGCTTGTGTGCGCGTCAAGGCCATCCCCACGTGCCCGACTCTCTCTCCTGCCTGGGGGCCGAACCCGGGCCTGTGCTTCAATCTGCCGAATCCATCTCCGGAGGCCCCTCGGGAGAGTGGGAGGGAAATGAGGGGCCTCGTTTTTTCGCAGCGAAAAGGGGGAGAAGGAAGAGGCGCTAGTTGGGAGTCCTCGATTTCGTGAGTTTCGTCACGCATGACCCAGTTTCGCGTGTGAAGATTTCCTTTTGCATACCGTGACGGTGTTTCCGAGAAGTGAAGTTGGAGAGGTTAACCTTTCGAAATCGTACCGAGTTTCACTAGCATCACCCACCATCGTTGCTTCGACGAGCGACAGAATAAACGGTCGGGGATCTATCATTTTTTAGATCCCTTAAACGAAACACGGCCTTTTGACTCTTTTAAATCGATATAAATAACAAAATAGGGAATAACTTTAACACATTTCTGCAGCAAAAACTAAGAAATTGCACTTGTCCGTCTTGATCGATGGCCTTGTCGAATCGGTCCACCCCGGATGGGAAATCATTCAATTGACTGTCTTTCCATACGATTCTTCACTCGTACATTAGTCGTGATAGAAAAAAAAAGAGTAAAGTTTAAATCCGTTCTAATCACTAAAGTTAAGAAAAAGAAAAGAAGAAAGAAAGAATCTTTTTTAAAGTTTAATGAATAAACGCACGCAACACCATTCACGAAATATCGATTTTCCATTCAAGGCGACCTTCAGATATATTTTTATAAAAATTTTTTTTTCCTTTCCTCCTCTCTGCTGCCTTTCAGTTTTCCTGATGTTACGAAAGGATGGGAAGGTAGTCGTTCGAGAAAATTTGATCTCGATGTTTGATAGAAGGCGATAGCGAGAAACTCTATCTTGTCACAAGACATCAAGGTTATTTTGTTGTCCACGTGTTGCAATAAGTTAAGCTGCTGCTACACTTCTTATTTTTCGTCCATCGTTATTATTATTATTATTATTATTATTAAATTCACTATCGGCGTTGACCTATTTTCACTCAAGTATCGGCTCGGTTTATTAACACGTTATTGCTATTCACTACGTCATAGTTTTATCTATAGATTATGCAACTTTTACTGGTTTTTATCTGTCTTTCATCATTGAAGATGTTAACATGTTAGAAATATAAAACGATCTGCTTTACATAAAAAAAAAGAAACAAATAGCGAGAGGTAATTTCATTGTCTGTCGAGTCAAACGAGGTCAGATATTTTAAAACATTTTAAACAGCCGAGTATTATTTTAGTTGGCATGATTAGCTAGGCTATTTTGTAGTGTCAAGGACGCCATCCATTGCTCAATGACATCACCGGTCGCCATTTTTAAACTGGTTTTTTTTTATTATGTTATCACAACAAACTAAATTAAAAGTTTTCCTAGTCGTGTAGAATGAATAAAATATGTTCGGAAGTCATCTAGGTCTGATTTGCATACGGGTTGGCATGCCAAATAGAAAACACGAAATATGGAAATGTTTAGGGTCGAACGTGACTTCCTCCATCAATCAGTAACTAAACAAAAAAAGAAACTTTTCGAATCTAGAAATAGTTTTATCATTCTGACATGCAGAGATGATTTGTAGTTCGGTCGGTATTGAGTTATTTCGTGTGCTTTCGACTCGAAATTACATGCGGCTTTCCTCCCTACACGTACGCTACTTACACACAATTCTTGTTTTTATAAAAATTATCTTAAACGGATGGCCAATCAACTACAAACTATTAAAATCGGTAGATATGCTTTTACACAATAATTTACTGGTTATGCAGCCTAATAACGGATGTAGGCCTAAGTTTCTGCTTGTTTTTATTGTGTAAAAGTAGCCTTGTCGACACTACCTCTATCAGTTCCACGCAATAGCCAGTGTACTGTACCTACCGCTGCTTTGTTCTCGAACCAGTAGGCGAAGCGACGATAATTTGCATAAAAGTTAAATTAACACACCGATTCTAGGAAGTGGACCTTTAAATCTGGTTTCTGCCAATCATTTCGAGAATGGCTTCGGGTTGGGAGGTGTTTGTTTTTTCAGTCGTAGTTTTGGCGTAAGGCGTATAGCTACATATTTGGGCACGAGCGCCATTTTGAAAGCTCTTCCTGGAGTGATTACGAGGGGGAGAATCGAGGAATGCACGAGCACAAAATTGGTGCTTTTTTTTTTTTCTATTCGTGCGGCGGTCGATGAATGCGGCAGTGTTTTATCGACGGGACCTAGACGCGTTTTTGTAATTGGCGTTTATCAGACGTCGACTCCTCTTCAAACTGCAGGTATAAGAAAGGCGAGATACGAACACGTGTTAGTTCTCATCTTACTTCTACGAAACAATGCCGTAGAACTTTCATCCGTCGTTCGATAAAGCTGCAACACCCCGATAAGATTTCATTTCGCTCGTCATACAAGGTCATCGTACATTCTTCTCATCTGGTATCGACCGCAATTTCGCCGACTTCCAAACGTTATTAAGTGACAGCATTCAAAATTCTCTTTCCCTCCCCGCAACGTGTGACGCTCGTTAATGTCGGACTACTCTCGAAATGGGGTAACACGCGCCCGTCGATCGATAACTACCATCCATTCTTTGTTCTCCTACAACCGGCCTTTTCCTTTTACGTTTTACGATTCCTCAATTTTTAAAAGTTTGGACGATAAGTCTCGCGAATTAATCTGTCCTCCATGCAATACCACGGACGACGAAACATTAACAATAGCCAGTAATAAAAATCTGCAGGCATTTCGCAGTTTTTTTTTACTCAATAAAAAAAATAGAGGCGACGTAGTAAAACGCAGATAAAATGTCGATTTTTATCCAAACTTATAGATAGAAAGAATAATGACGATGCTAAAATACATTTTCTATATTTGCCAAAAGATGGTTACGTACAACGACGAAGGCAATCGACACAATATAATCAGATTTCCTAGTAATATATATTTTTAGAAAAATGGAAGGAAAAAAAATGGCGCCGCGTTTGTTATAGTAAGATAAGTAAAAGAGGAGCGTATAAAATGATTTTTAATGCTCGAGTGCAAATACCAGAGATAATTTTAGTCGCATCTTTTTATAAACCGAAAGTCGGTCTGAACCGAGGAATCTCCGGTCGAAAACATTCCCCGGGGCAAATAGTAAGGACGGCGTAACAGTTGGGCAAAAACAGTCATCTCACTGCCATGTTTATTTATCTGACGTCAGAGCTAGCAAGGTCGCCTTCTTCCCCGCGCATTTACGACAGCAGCCACCAATCTCTCTCTCTCTCTTTTTCCCTCCCCTTCTTTCCTCTTTCTCTCCTCGGCTTTCCCGGCGCAAAAATAGGAAAAATTAGAAAAGGAAAATTAAAAATAACATATAAATATATATATAAAGAAGATATCTCGTCACGCGGTAAACATCGTTAAACGTGACCTAAAATTTTACTAATCACCACGGTCGGTGGAGGATGACACGTGATGCGCTAGAACGTTTCTTTCTGGGAATGCGGAGAAGAGTAAAAAATAAAAAAATAATAATAATAAATAGTAAAACGAAAGAAGCTTGGCATTTAGCCACGGATAACGTGAAATTTCTCAATACGGGGAATAAATTCGCGTGAGTTATACTATTGTGGTGCGAGGCGAAATGTTATTGCACAATATTTCCATAAAAGTAATTTAAAACTCACGATATCGTTAAATATTTGTAAGCAGAATTTAGCGGTGTTTAAAAAAAAAGGAGAGAAGAAAGTTTGCTAAGAGATGACGTCACCGGGTGTTTTGTAAGCGGGATCGATAGGTTATATTTATTGTTTGTATTTGTTGTGTCGGAGGCGAAGGGTTGTCCGACCTTGAATTGGTTTTGGGCAAAAGCAGTCGGACAGGGAGCACATTTACGGGATTTATGGAGAGAGAGACCGTCGATGGCTCGAATAAATCGATAAGCGTAATCTCATTTCTCTTGTTTTTTTTTCGCAGGAGCAGGATAGCGAAAAGCAATCTGCTAGCAGAGATTACCCAGAAGTGAAAAAGTCAATCAAGAAGTGGACGGAATATCAAGACGGTCAGAAAATCCTATTGACCACACCGTCGGTGTTGGTGGGCTACAGGGTCGAGGTATACAGGGTCGAAGGGACTACGCAGTGGTATACGGCGGTTATCGTCTCTTACAACGACAACACAAGGGTAAGCCCGCGACCTTGTACTCGAAGGGTGGGTGCGGTCCCGTTCGGAAAGACAAAACCGGTCGAGTCGGAGCGTGACCCAGTTTGTTTTCTCGGAAACGAAGCTCTGGCGTTTCCTCCTGTTCCGAGATGCTTGGTAGCTTTATCAATGGAGAGAGATCCGAGCTTCACGCTTCACCTGCCGCTCCGAGTTTACGAGGATCCAGGTGCGAGCCGGTCGTATGACGTTGCATCGGCGGCCATTGTTTGTTCGTCATGAATATGGAAATGAAATTTCGGAACGCGTTTCCGTCACGGATCCTGGTCGAATCTGCCCCGGTGCCGAGGAAGGTGGTCGATCGTTTTTGAGACGGGAGTTAAGACCCCCGGCGTCCGAGTAATTATGATAATTATCGGTTTATCCGAGTAAAAAGATAGTTATTAATTGGAAGGATTTACGGAGTAAGAATTAAATTGGGGACTTCGTTAGGAAGATTAAAATCGGTTAGTCTCGGTGCCAATTGTAAGAGGATTAAAAACGACAGAAAGACTGCCAAGTTGGCCGATTGCAAATCTCTTTCTCTTTCGACTACGCACCAAGAGCGTAATTTCTTAATTAGTTACGTCAAAACGATGCAATCCTTCTCGCGTAAGCGTCCTTTGACAACTGCATAATAGGGACCTTTAACTGCCCGCGGGCGTGTTCGTTTTCACTCGACCTTCGACACGGCAGACGAACGCGTCACGGTTGTTCGACCGACTGAAAGCAATCCTAGCAAACTTCAATCTGCCTGGCGAATAATATCACCGGGGATCCTATGTAAATTTATCTAGCACAAAGAATTCCCCCCTTTCCTTTCTTAAACTGGACTTTTGATGCCGTATTACCCCGGACGGCTGCTTCGTTCGACTCTTTCAAGGTCAGAAGGTTAGCAAACTCTTAAAATTTCAAAGACGCTTTCTTCCCATTCCAAACAGGCATAAATACCTATCGGCCGTAATATAGTGGTCGCTTATTTACGAGGTTATGAGTCGACCCGCATCTTATCGCTTTTGCCAGCGATTAATATTTATCTAAAGCGATACGATTCAACGATTACGATTCATTTCTTTTTTATTTTGAAATTTTGTTTTTCACGGTAATTACTGTCGACACTCTATTGTTAGGCATTGTTTAATCGAATCGTAATCGGCGCATTAGTTCGGTCCGGTCTCAGTCCACTCGACGTAGATCCGTTCACAATGGCATAAAGTTAGGTAAGGTCTTTCCTGCAGAAGCGAATTTATTTTCGACTTATTTCTTGTTAGCCTAGTTTGATTTACAATGGAGTTTAACCTTCGACGTGCCTGCAGCTAAAATAGAAGCGTATGAGTTTTTAAAGAGCCTCCGTACAATGAACAATAGAATTTGTACGACTTAACGTTTCGTGATTGTCAAGTTATATCGTAACGGATCATTGTCTGACCCCAAAGCGATATGTTTTGAAATTTCTCGCTGTACTCGACAATTTTCGTAATGCGCTGCTATTTATTTAACATAATAAGGATGTCCAGTAAAATTTATTATGTGAACTCGTTGGCCGAGAACGTCGTCGGCTTCTAAGTCATTTAAAAAGGAAAGAAAGGTTTGCCGTAAATTTGTCTTTTCGAATGCAATACGTGGTGCACGTTAGACTTAGAGAACGTGAGCCGTTCTCATCTTTTATCATCCGGATACCTAAAGACGATGTTACAAAGCGGTCGTCACCGAAGTCGCAATGTTTGGCATGTTGCGATTATCATTCCTGTTGGCGAAACATGATGTATAGATAAAGACGGTAAAAAAAAAAAATATAAATCTTTTATGGCACAAGTCGAAGAAAGTGAAATTAGTTTATTCTTTAAAATGCCGGAGGAAATACGAGAGACTATTTATATTACATTTCATCCCCTTTCTTTCTTTATAAGGCTTCCATCGTTGGGATATTTAATTCCAAACTCGCTTGTGCACAAGAGTATTTCCAGTATGTTTATGCTAATTTAATAACTCGCCTTTCTCTTTCGATATCGAAAGAAGTAACATAATTGTTGTCGTAGAGTTAATAAGAAGCGATCGTGCCCGAATACTACTGTAACGCATGCAACGTTTCCTACTCTTTTAAGTGTCGTGCGTGTGCGGCGTGTGGACCAAACTCCCCTCGAGAGAATCGGTCAGAAGACTACTTTTTCTCTAGTGAATGTTGTGCGTGTTTGTGTCTGTCGCCAACGGTTTTTTTTTGGATGGACGCAACTTACTTATTCTTTTCTATTGGCAGGAATTAACTCTGACCGACGACACCGTGCTCGAAGAACATAATGAAGACCCATGCTTGGTACAGATGAAATTAATTGGCGATGGAGGTAAAGTAGTGTTATTAATTGCCAGTCTTTCTAGCCGACCGATAAAGTCGGAGAAAACACAAAGCGCCATTCGCCGTGCCGCTAAAATAGGTTATTTATATTCTAGTGAGATTAGTGTCCCCTGGTATCGGTAAGCATTATCTTCATTTTCAATACCATTAAAGATGAGTTTCTGGTTCAGTCATCTAAAATCGGCACGCACCGTTCGAGTGATTGGCCTCGTTAAAAAACACCCCAACCTGTTTAACACCGTTCAAACAGGTTTCCTTACATATTTTTCACACGGCCACGTTGGCTAGGCGGGGATATCCCTTCCGGACTATTTAGTTGACAAAGATTTTGCAATTCACTTCATCCAGACAGGAAACGGGCTTTTTTTTTCCGTAACGAGCGTCAGATAAAATTTACCAATGTTGGTGGCTTTGAGAACTTTGACGGTGAGAGCGTCTCATCTCGTTAAATGCAAAATTTCTTATCTCCGTTAGCCATCGGCTACTTTGGGAAGTTTGATTTTGGGCCAGGAATCTTCCTCGGGCCACTCCTCGGCGAACGCCAGGTAGATCATTTGTCATTCACACCCCTGGCCGCAGTCCTTTCGACCGCGTCATTAATTCGGACGTGGGAATGCGATGTTTTAAACGTGTTGGGCTGTTTTTTTTCTTCTAAATATCCGGTTTAGCGGATCGCATATTTCGCTATTTGTGAACGGTGGTCTGATACAATTTCTTGTTTACAGTAGTGGAGTCAATATTGAAAGGCGAAAACATCGGCATCACTCCTCGCAGACGTACCTGCACCCAACAAAGGATTTCGGTGAGTATCGAGCATTTAATCTCTTCGGAAACTAACTTTCGGTCAATCGAGTGCCATCCTTTCGTACGCCGACACTTCAAACGCACTTTTATCGTTAGCGTTAATCCTTCGTAATCGGGTATAGTCGACGGAGACGTGAAAAGAGGCGTTGTTAAAACGTCGCGTGTATCCACAGATTAATCATATTCAGCCGTTGAGTCTATAACGACCTACTTTCCTCTAATTTTACGAACTAGATCCAGATACGTGACGTAATTAGATCGGGGAGGGCATTTCGTCCGGTTCTTTCCGCGTAGGTTTACTGGAAAGAAAAGAAAAATAGCCGAGGCAATTTATGGAAGCGTCACGAGATAATCTCGGGGTTAGATTTTAAAAACAAATATTTCGCTCCGACGTTTTTATGTAGGTTATTTTGATCAGATATAAATCAACAGGAATGACGTAACGTTCAAAGTGCTATTCCCTCGGAAAAAAAAACCCATCCACAATCAAACAGGAACAGGGTTTTCGATGGGTGGAGTCGAAAGATTTTCGTTCGGCGAGATTGCCTCGTTACTGCACGAAATAGACCGTCAGCTTCACTGGCCATGACCTGTCACATCGCATCACATCACGTGTAAGGTAGTGCAGGGGTAGAACCGTGCCTCTCCATTCTTGCATAGACGCGTTTACGTCGATAATGTTTACGTTACACATTGTTTCGATGCCACCGAACGGAGATATTTACGAGTGTTTAATCCGATAACAGGTGCCGTACAGCACCAGAACAAGAAACCAACACAGTCCGACGTCCGTATCCACGTCCAGGATTACAGCCAGTCCCACGGTTCAGAAGAAGACCAAATTCAAACAGGGACCCGACGGGCTCCTCGATAACTCCAACGACAGAGGTTTGTCTCCTTCCTTTTATTTAAAAAAACTAGAATATAAGTGTTATCCGACGGTTCCCGCGACAGCCGAACACATTTAGGTACTAGAAATGGTATCCCACCGAATAATTTTTTGACGATCCGAGGCGTAACTCTGCATTTATGGCTGCGGCGATTTCGAAAATGGAATTTAATGCAGTTTCGCAACAATTTTTTTCTTTTCAAATTTTGTAACGTCTCGCCCTCGCTTGTGTTTTGGAACAGAAGCGGGCATTTTTATCTTCCAGGTGGTGTTTTCGCCCAGGCTGGCGGCCACGGCGATGGCAGAATAGGTTTTATAGTTCGGCGGGTGACCGAAAGCGATAGTTTTCTTCGAGGTGGAGCCATAATTTTTGACGAGGCGGGAGAATAATTGGTTGTAACGCCGACCGACTAATTCTCCAGTCGTCGCGGAATAAGATAAATAAGCTTTTACGAGTAGATTAGGTTTAAGTAGAATCTCGTCGAACGTATTAAAGTTAAGTTATCTGGGCTTTTAACGCGAATCGCTAGAGAGTGCCCCGGGTCGACTCGCTATCGATCGAACCGCGTAATGAGATACATCTCGCGCAAATATTAAAGAGAATACCCCAGGGTAGGGTGGAAAAAAGTTTATTTTGATCGTTATTAGTTTAACTCCAGAAATGCGCTCCTTTACTCTCTGTCCGCGCAGCCGTCTAACCTATCAATAGATTATCTCTGCGGATAAGCGTATAAATTTGCGTTGGAAGTCACCGGTAAAAATGCCTTTCCGGACGCGTTACCGCTTACGCAACGTTCGAATCGCCCCATTTCCTCAGGCCACGCTATCGCCGTCTCTCGATACATTACACTTTTTTTTTGTGCCGGTGACGGATTTGCAGCTCGAACAATGCACCAGAAATCTCTGGATGAAACTGCGAAGAATTGCGAATTACGAACGTAACCGGTTGTGTAGGAAACAAAAGGCACATTTTTCCCCTTCTCTCTTATCCTCGTCCGTAAACGTCTTAGATAATCGTTAGAAGGGATTCCTTTTTCGGAAAGGCGCAGACAAAAGAGAAGACGGGTCCTCCGTGTGGAGTGATTCATTCGAGACGGCTTATTGTTCTCTTATTTCTCCGAGGGGAGAGTGAGTGGCGGGGTGACTTATCACCTTCTCACGTCCTTGTCGAACAAATGTAGTTTGCGAAGATAGTAGCACCGCATTCCTCCTATCGGGAAAATAGACCAGTTTCCTTGTTGTCTTCCGAAAACGCCTCCTTCGATGGGTATATATAGTCCGAGGATGGCAGGTGGTCCGGCACGGCCGTTAATCTCGTACTACGCGCTCTAAAATATGGTATGTGCCCGGTGAGTCTGGTGGAGATTGGTCGCACGTGCTCTGCATAGAAGCCGGTCGCCGAAGGTCTTTTCAATCTCTGGCAAGAGCTCTCTTCTTCCAGTCGAAAGCGCATCTCGATGGTAATCGCAGAGTTTTGTAATGTAGGAATTAAGAGCGAGCGCTCGTCGTAATGGCCATCTTCAGTTTTTAGTAAAGAACGAAAAAACGGAGGGGGAAAACAAAAAGAAGTTTTATCACCTTCGAACCAATTGACACGACCCGCGAGAGTTATAGCAATCGTTCGAATTGCATCTCGGGTAAAGGTTTATTAGTATCGAGGGAGTTAGATTGGAGAAATCCTCTAGTTATTGATCCACTGCTGGGTTTTTCTACCGTGACTATTCAATTGATTTTTCGCTTTTTTTCCCCGATCCTTTCGATTAGAACTTTGTACTTTACCTGACTGGATGGTCTTGTCAAAAGTACTTACATCCTGTATAGATAAGAAGTGGAGAATAAACACTATTGGACGATGGAAAGAAAAAAAAAAAACAGGAGTTAGCACGGGTCAGGAGTTCAATGATGTGCAACTTTTTTACCAGTGGAGAGTCAAGGTGACCTTCGTTGTCGTTCGGCATTCGGGTGATTTAAATAAGAAGAATAAATAATTGGCACGGTTTTTTCCTTCTCGCATTTACATAAAGTGCTAGTAGAAGTTTCGAACATAAGCGAATTATCCCCATTTTTGATAATATGAGTCAGTCCGGATTGTAAACTGGTTTCATTCAGAAGACGGGGCTTTACTATAAAAACCGAGAATGTCGAATGTTTTAAAATGGATGCAGCACTTTGTTCCGCTCTGCTACACGTGACCAACGTCTGGTCTCAGCTCATTGGACCGTCCGCGATTTGCAATCCTGGGATAGTAACAAAGTGTGTGCGGGGAGAAGAAATAAAATGGTGCCTCCCGCTCTTAGTCTTTGTCCCGAGCATTCATTCGATATCCATTATCCTCCTCGGACCGTAGTTTCGTAATGTCGGAATCGAAGTTTTGGTCATTTGCGGCGCGAAGAAAAGCGTGGGACGATCGGTAGCCGAGCGAGATGGGAACCAGCGATATCCCCTTTGACCTTTCTTCTTCGCTCTTCCTCGCTGGTCCATCTGTTGTGTGAGATCCAGCCAGACAATCTGGCACACATCATTGATCCATTACCACTAGCGAAGGGGAGTCTAGACGGCGCTCGTGCATTCGGAGAGGGGAGGCAACTAGATCAAGGGCTGCAGCTCAGTCACGCAGAACCCGGGGGCAGGTCGCTGCTCCAACTATTGTTATGTTAAAAACCGCACGGCACTGTGTGTTCTGGGTGTGGTCGGGGCCACCTGTGTCTCTTGTGGAAAACGTGGCAGCGTGAGGGTGGAAAAGTTGCTTAGCCGGAGGCATCGAGACCCGGTTCTGTCACTGCCAGTCAGCCGTGCGTGCTTAGTTGGTGCCAGGCAGCCGGACTGTTGAGTCGCGTCGCAGCGTTCACCTGTTACGTGTACGAGTTACGCGGGTGCCGCTTCGAACCGTGCCAATATGGAATAAAATAACGTCCAAGGCGGATAATCCTTGAAACTAAGACGACGCGGTAAGTACGTTCTTTAAAATCTGACCCTTTAAATTTTTTTTTTTAAATGCGACCTCCAGCAATTCTGGGAAAGAAGACGGGCAAGGCCAGTTTATTCTCTCTTTTCAGAACACGTTTGTGGCAGGAGTGGCTAATAGTCTCGGAATATAGCCCGCAGTCACGACAAGAGCAATCGTCTCTTTAAAAGAGAATGTTTGCAGATTTTTCTCTCCAAAAAAGTTCTTTAAATCGATATGACCTTCGGCTGTTAGGTCCGCCGTGGCGCAAATATAATCGCTATTTTAGACCGACCCGAAAATCTACCGTCCACGATCGCAATCTGGCCCACTTTACTTCCATTCTGCACTTTTATCTTTGCAAAAAACGTAATTTCTCAGCCGGCACCCATATTATTCAGGACAATCGGTGGGAGGAGGTGACCTTCGTCGAACGACGGGTCAGTTTGCGTAAAGTAGAATCACTTACGTAAGGGACGAATCTGACCTAACTCTAAAAAATAATTAAAAAAAAAAAGGTTTTCGTGCGAACGAACAACTTCACCTTTTTTTTTTAGTTTCCCCGTATCGGTTTGGAATCCAACATGGCCTCGCCGCACAATAAGAATCCACGTACTTAGTTACTTTTGGCTGCACATCCAGGTAGGCTACCGACCTTCTGCATTCTCTATCTGTTTAGCGTGACGAGGACTATCGTCTGCGTGCAGCATTCATCATCTGACATTTTTCGTTTTATGACTTGGGAAGGAGTCGTCACGCCGCTTTGCTTTCGATTTTTGCCGAAATTCGTCCGGTATGGTTACGCAAAACTGTAATTTGTGGCCAGAAAGAAAGAAAGAAAGAAAGAAAAAAAACGAGATTCTCGGTTACACTTTTTCCTTTTTTCGATACTAGGAAAATGTTCGACCGCTAAAAATAACCGCGATTAAATTAATAGGAACTGCCTTATTTACAAACTTCTTTTGTTATTAAAGTTCGCGGACGAGTTTTTTTTCCGCCTCTTTCTGTAAAGGGAAAAATAGTTTCATTCACTTCTTTCCCACAGCGAAGTCGGGTCAAGGTCATCCTCTGCCTAATTTATACGCTTCGGACGAGGAGCTTCTCTTATCGTCCGTGAGCCGTAGTCATGACGACGGACAGGTGCGCGCGGACAAACACAGGTGAAATCATCGTAACGTCCGTTCGCGTTGCGTTCTTACACTCGGTTCCCAAACGTTCGCTTTTAACTGCAGAATGCAAAAATTGACGTGACCTCAATCGCGCTCCGAAAGAGTGACGTAACCGTGACGTGACTTAAGATCATAAAGCGTGTCGTTTATTTGTCCCTCCATTGTATAGCTTCTCTCTTTACGGTCTATTGGCCGCCGTACCTAACTAATACTTACCGGTACGAGCCGTACGCGATCGGAATTCAATTTCCACCTTCGATTATTTTCCCGAACGTAAAGACACGAGAACCTTTGTGCGGTTTTACTCAACGACGATTGTTATCCGGTCGTGGCGTAGTCGGAATGGCGCGGGGCATCCGTTGACCTCGATAGTGCGGACCGTGACAACTGTTTTATCGCCGTCCTCCATCACTAACTCATTTAGTTGTGTGCAGCGACCAGTTAATCACCGACCTGCTACAGTTTTTCTATCCTCTGCAAAATTGACCATTCGACGTCTGTTAACGAATGGGATCTTCGATACACCGATCCGAACCATCCGGTAGTCCGGGGTTATTGCGTGAGCCCGGAGGTCGAAAGTGTTATTCTTCCCACAGAACAGATGGCATTTTTCGGCCTTAAAAAAAAAAAAAAAAGGAAGTTTCTTCGGGAGTTTGGAACTCCGATTTCCGTCCCCCTGCGTGGAAGACGGGCAAATTATCTTACGTAAAACGACAATTTGACTATGTGGTGCGTGAAAATTGCCCCTGTTCCGTACATTCCAAAGATTAAGCTAAATTCGCAAATCGAGCGGAGAAAAATTTAGGTCCTTTATTTTCCGTTCGAATAACGCAAACAGGAAAGACAAAATTGAACATGAAAATAAATTTTTCGAGCCTTTAAGATCGGACCCGTTGGCCGACCTTCGACCTCTACAACTCGTTATCCTTTACGAGAGCGAGCGAATGCGATTAAAACACGTATTCTTTTCGGCAGCAGAGCGAAAGACCGGCATTTTTTTCCTCCCGTAAAGTTAATATCGGATTTGTTTACCACGGAGAAAAACAGATTAAGCGTTATCGAATCCGCTGGTAGGAAATAAATAGTCAAAGTTCAAGACCGAGGCGTTATCGTTGTCTTTTTGAAACGGAGCAGCGAGCACGTGACATAGCGCGAGTTTAGTTGTACAATGAGTCAGTGACTTCCTGGCCGTAAATTACGCGTCGGTGAGAACTGGTTTTTCTTCGCTCGACACAGACCTATCACGACCTGTTTATTGAAAGAAACATTCGGCCACAAATCGGCCGGTTGAATGAAGAGGTTTTCTTCGCACGCTTTCGGAATAAATATCGGTGGCCCCGGCCGATGCCTAATTGACGTTTTCGTAAGAATTGTGGTGCGGGAAGGGCTTGAGGGTGGAGATGCGCTTTTAATGATTTCGATTTGTCTTTGCAGTGTCTGGCGCGAATCCCGACAGTCCCGAGGCCAGAAGAAGAGACAACTGTTCGGTGATCGTTTCGGATAGCTGTAACAAAAGAAGGACGCCCAAGAGTGGTAAGAAAAGGGAGGAGAGCGACGAGGATGACGAACTGCTAACCGGGACGCAAGACGAGTCGGAAAGTGCTCAGGATGTGGACAGTTCCGACCAAGAGGAGTCTCCCAAGAACCACAAGAAGAACCTCCGCAAGCAAGCTCGGCCCAAGAGAGTGAACGGACTTGAAGAAGATTGCGGCGCGGACGACGATGCCAAATCGCCCCATTGTCTGATCGGCTCATCCTCCGACGTCGAAAGCATAAGTGCGAGTGAAGTGAGGACGAGTAGCCCTTCCCACGACCAAAATGTGGCGGTGTCGGTTACTGGTGACATGTCCAAAGTAGAGAGACCTCTGCTCGACGATTCGACCAAAGTGGCGGAAGGAGGGCGGCAGTCGCCCGCTTCCGACCCCAAAACGGACCCGAGCAAACAAATTGGCAGGAACGGTTCTCCCGTCGACGCGAGAAAAGTAGAATCTTCTAAATCTGTTAGTCCTTTGGTGATCGAGAGGAACGACGGCCTTCGAGTGTTCTGTGATCCGAGTCTGGTGAACTCGAAAAGACATTTCGACCCCCTACAGCAGCCCGCCAATCTGATGCATCCGGCTGGACTGTCTCATACGGCCACTGCCGCTTATCCCAGGGTACCCGCTCTGCCCCAGCACACGCGAGCCACCACTCATCTAAGTCCCTACGGATTGACGTCCGCATTGATTCCTTCGCACCATATTTCGCCCGGGTCTCCCATGGAACAATCGTCCATTCATTCTCAAGCCTATAGACAACTTATATCTCAACATCCGCCGTTACTAGCTCAGTACAGTTCGCCCGTCGGAATAGGAATGTTGTGGCAACAGAAATTTCCTCTCAACACTCCCTCCCCCAATCCGTGGATGGTCGAGGCTCAGATTCAAGAATTCAGAGAGAGAGAGCGGGTCATGGCGGCCCACGAAAGACAAACCAGGATAGAGAGGTAAGTCGATCGTTATTAAATAGCGTAATTCTAGCTTTAGGTCTTGAAAGCTCGCTTTGTGTTTCTAACATCGGGCCAGACTTTGGAAGTCTTTGTAAATAAAGTGTGATAGATGGTCGAGTACATTTAAGATCTGCGGATAAGGTTATTGTTAAATTTAAAAACCGCACTTTGCCTCGTCGTTGGCCTGTCAAAGTTCGACGTCGATTGAGTTTCGAGCCTTTTACAGTCCCATCGGAAATACACACAAACCGTAATTTCTTAGGGGTAATAAAGGGACGAAGCGCACTCTTCATCCCATTATACATATACAGTACTTTCGCTACAAATTCTTAACTGCATTTATCTGCATAGATGATTGATGCTTTACATCAAAAGTAGAATAAAGTGTGCAACTCGACACGTGCCCATCCTTCATTTTTGTATTCCACATTAAATTGCCGTCTGTTTCAAAACAACGAGTTTTCGTTGCGGCAAAATCTGCCAAACGTTTAAATTATTTATTGCTTCGAATGAACCCGTACAAATCTATGTATCGATATATTTTGGATAATATATATAAGTGTACGGAAGCGGCACCTAAAAATCGATGGCCGAAATTGGAAAATTCATTTGGCAGAATTATTTAATTGAGGAATTGTGTCGTTGGCGAGTAGATTCACTTTTGGTTCTCGATGCTGACGTAACGTTATGCTCTCGTACATTATCGGGTCATAGATTCGGGTATAGATTCGCCCTTCCTTATTTCATCGTGTTTCCAAATTACGTTTATGGTGTTGCGAAACAGATAATTCCTAATCACTACCGGTTATCTCGGTTCGAAGTGCGAGTGTCGGACATCTGGAAGGTTACCATTCTATTTTCGAGTGGTGACTCACGGCCGTTCTAGATGGCTTAATTACCATAAGCAGCATTGGATTCGATAAATGAACTTTGCATGGCGGCGAAAGGAGGGTCGACGACCTATAGATTTTGCTTTTTCCATTTCCGACGGTAGAGGCGAAGAGTCGAAAAGCGTCAGTCTAAGAAAGGACGTCCTGCCAGGCGACATTACCGTGCCATTGGTTAGCTCGGCACGATTCGTCGAGAAATTCTATTTTGATAGATAAATAAAAGGATGCTTTTGTTTGAGAAAAGCGCCGTTTTTCTTTCTCAATGCCGACTCGTTAAAGCAAACAACACCGAAACGCGCCCGGACAATGCTTCGTTAACGGGATGTTGCGGCAGACACAATGGACGTTGGACGACGACGGATGCCCGATAGTTTTACCGGTCTGCCAAGGTGCTTCGTCGATTAATTGGATACGGCCTCGGGAATAATCGCTTGACGGTTTCCTAGGAATAGCGAATCGGAAAATTCGGTGCTAAAAAGTGCCAGGAGCCGCAAACGAGCGAGTAGAGAATGCAAAGCGAAACGCTGCCAAACAAAAAAAAGAAGAACCTGCAAAAAGTAGAGTGACGCCGAGTTCACACAATTGCCAACCAATTATCCGTTCTTCTGAGAAAGGTCATTTCGCCATCGAGTTGATAAAGACATCCTCCCGTTTGCCGAGAGCTACACGCAATTTTTTCCCTATCGCAACTGGTTATTCGGCAAAGTTATTTTTAAGAGATCGAAACTCGTTTTAATGATCTTAATAGTTGCAACACACTGTAGTGTCCCGGTTGTCCACTTGCCGAGGAATTTTTCCCGGTGGAGAACCGGTTACGACGATTCGTCCCTCTTTTCCCCTCGTTTCTAACCTCTGAACTTCTCCATTCTGATCTCCCAACGTCCGAGATAAATACGAATCATTAAAATTAAACGGCCATGTTTCGTGACATTGATAACGAGAATTGTTTAAGATGTTAAGTGGCTCCGCAGGAAGAAAAGAAAAAGAAAAACCTGAATGACAGTAATAAAAATCGAACAGGAAAACCATTTTTTAAAAAAAGAAGTAAAATAATTCTATAATTTCCTGCAGTAATTTTTTCTTTTTGCCACACACATACACATGCAGCAGTGTGCACAGAACAGAAAGTATTATTGCACTTCTTCTTCTGTTAGATAAATTTTGAATATTAAAGAATCCAAACCCGTTAGATTTTGTGCACGTCGATCAAAATTCATTATGAAAGTGGCATTTGCTTCGCTGTCGGCAGTGACTAGGAATGAAACAAATTATAAATTCGAAAAGTTATTCTATAATTATGTTTCGGGAGAGTCCGATGCTATTAAAATCCGTGTCTAACTCTGCAAAGGCATAAAATTTGGTTTTAATGACGCAGACCGGGCCGTTCGGTCGTGGTAGAACGGTAGCTGGAAGGGATTGTGTCTATGTTAATCCGGTTTTGCGGTTCGATTCCCCTAAATTCTGTTAATAAGCAAATTTGCGGACGACGATAAATCGGGGGAGTTTTTGAGCGTTAGGTGGAGTGAATTTTTAGGAGGAAAAGGTGCGGAAGACTGGGTGTAGCCGGACAGAGCGGTTTTCCCCTCTAGAAGCGTTAAATGCCGTGCTGTCATTAGCGTAGATCAATAATGTCAAAATTGCTTATGGTGGGGGATAGGGCCGTTTGCTTCGTCAGCTTTTGTCTCGGGGTGGCCGTTTTATAGTGGGAAAAGTCTTCCAACTACTTTCAGTTAACCGGAGACGTTTGCCAGTTTTCTTAACGACTCTCTTGCGAAAGAACAGTCTACCATTCGCCTTCCAAGTTTGATGACACAGCCGAAAGAAAATTACATTCGTCGACAAGAATTTTGGCAGGTATCGTCCTCTATCCGCTCGAATTTTGCGCGATAGTGGACGAAAGAAGCGATCGAAATCGGTCATTGTCGCCATTCCAACTGGGCTCTGGCACTTTGCCCAATTCGTCGCTCGTTGCAACCGGCATTTCTGTTCTAAAGAAAAAAAATAATATATCTCGTAATTGTCGTCTCGAAAATAAGTCGAAGAGAAATTTACAACTTGTATCGCCTTTCATTCCACTTTATATTAGTCTTTCCTCCACATTTGTTTATTAAGGGAAGCCGACCTGTTGTTTGAATATTGCTCGGGCGATATTAAAGTCGAAGAATGTCTATCACGCGGTGTAACAAAAACCGAGAATTACGTTGTTGTTATTCCGCTTGCTATTATGTTTATTAAAACTTCCAAAACGGGAAAACTCGGCCGTCCTGGCTAAAATTACTGTGGTAAATATATCTGGATTCTTTTGTTCAAACGTTCTTAATGAAAGAAATTTGGAGGAATAGGCCAGTTCTGTTGTGCCCAGAGTAAAGGTAATTGAGAGCTAGGTTTGGCCTAAAAACTTTGATGATTAACTAAAGAAAAAAACATATTGTAGATTCTGTATTAAATGTTTCCCTAAAATTTATAATTTCTAGTAGCTAAGAAATTTTTAGCAACCTGTTTTCCAACCTTGCCTGTCAAATATCTGGCTGACAATTTAATAAAGAGACCATCCTATTACTGGTTCTCAAAAAATTTGATAAAAATTTAAACAAACAATAATCAATATTTTTTGTATTTTTGAAATGATTTAGCTTATCTATTAATGTTTAACCTCTTAAAGAAGTGTCTGTTATCTCTATTGGCAAATTACTAGTAAACTTTGTCATATGTTACTTAATTAAACCTGATAAGTTATGTATAAACAGGATATCCTGATAATCATTAATATAGTATCGTGTATTGTATTTCGTATGATAACCTAGAATGTTGGGTTAAAAAAATTGTTTGGTACGGTTAAAGTTGAGTAGAAATGAGCAGCATTATCTAGGGAAAAGATGACTATCATTGTTTAAATTTGTTGTTGTCATTTGAATTAAATTAACTGTACAGGAAGGAAAGTAGGCCAAAAAATTTAATTGAGTGCCATAAAATTGTTATTTTGTTTTTCCTTATGTTTTAATTCATGATGCAGATTTTTATGTTTATTTCTGAAGTTAAAAATAGACTGTCACATTTCGTAAAAAGTTTATTTGTTGGGGACGTAACGGGATGTAACCGGAATAGAAGTGCCAATTAATCCGCTTTCTAACGGAAAAGATTATCAGACGAGAATTTTTCTTCGGATCGAAAAGTCTTCCCGTTTCGGTCCGCACCGCCGCAAATTACTTTACGGAAAGAGATGGGAAACAAAAGTCGGGCAACCGAGAGATAAAAATCTGGCACGCAGATTATAAATGCCAGTAAAGATAAAAGATAACTACACTATACAAAAATGAATGAAAGGACACGATTACTGGTTTACCTGGCTAAGTAGAAAACCAAACATTAAGCAGATGTTATTCAATAACATAATAAAAGTCAAAGCCTCGGGATGATATAAAAAGGTTGTAGTTTTTGTGAAGGTTTATTACCAACTGCTAAATTTTTTGTATATAAAAATTAACTTATAGCCTAAAACTTCACAATGCCATTATATTAATGTCATTCCAGCACTGCAGCTTTAATACACACACACACACACACATTATCTAATTGTTTTTTATTAAAGAAATGACATTAAGATTAATTAAAACAAATTTATTTTCTGAAATGGATTTTATTAGTACTTAAGAAGTTCAATATTAACATCCTGACCTATTTTCAATTGCTATATTTAGGAACAAAATAAAAAATGAAATTAGATAATCAAAATTGTCCTTCTATATTTTTATAAGGAAAAAGAAATGTTATTGTATTAAGTAAAAAAGATAGAATAGATTTAAAATTGATAATGCAAGACTTATTATGAAAATAAATCTGTGTGATAAATACTCTCATAAAAATTGACTGAACAGGCAAGCCAGGAAAATTTCATAGACAAACTTGTCTAAATTATTGGACACAAATTAAATGTGTCTAATTTTTAAGGTCATTAGAACAAAATCATAATAGTCCAAGGTCATCTACGATTTTCCTCTAATGACCTTGTTAGCATTAATTTTTATATATTTCAAATAATTAAAATTATACATTCTAAGACCTCAATTTTTTATTTTGTTTTCATTAATTTAATTAATATGTAATCATTAAATTACTAATATAAATTTCATCATCATATATAAATTGTGTAATGATAAGTGAAAGAAATTTATGGCTATGACATCACTGTAGATAAGGTTATTTGTCTTATGACATCAAAATAATCTTAATATTAGTTTACATTTAACCATCACAAAATCTACTATTGCTTATCAATTTAATTATCTTAAGTAGATATTGTATCCTAACAGACATTTTCCTCTCTAATAATGTGGATATTATTGAGGCACATGTAGTAAGAAAGAAATTTAAATCCTAGTTTTAATTGGCTCGGTTATCAAAAGAAATAGAATTCTGTTTTTTATTTTCTTACTCATTAAAAAAAAAAAACAAAAAGGTGCACACAATGCAGAGATTTTCAAAAGTTACAGTTACGTAATATGTCATTAATATTGCATATATACGTATAATACCTATTGCTATCTATTTTTGTAATTTTTGGCATTGCAACCTAAAAAAATAAATTTATCCATTTCATACTAAAATACTATAAATTTATCTGATTCATATCAATATTATCATAACAAACAAAACTTTTAGATAATTATATTATAGATATATAGAAAAAAAAACAAATATATAATTTGCTTTCTGGAATATTTTAGTAGCAGAATAAAGAATTATGAGCATGTAAAAATTATTGCAATGTTGGACAAATTTTTATAAATCATATTTATTTGCTTACTCAATACTATATAAAAATGTTGATTCATCTTATTTAAATGATAATTATCTTTATTACTCAATGTTTTTGTTTAAGAGATTATTGGTCTTTTTTAAATTCAATAAAATTTAAATGCTTATTGTATGTTTTATTTAATAAATATTTTTTTCGTATTTCAAAGAGAAATAAATTTAATCATCAAACTCTTATGCAACGAAACCTTTAATTACCAGTAACAAATTAACAAAAAAGAATGTTTTCAGCCTTCATGAAGGCTTGCATCAGATTTTTTAACAAATTGGAACATTTGAATGATACTATTCAAAAAACAATTTTAAATTTTGAATAACCTGAATCAAATTCAATGGTAGAACTATTAAAATTTGTAATTTTTTGACTCTGCCCCCATATATATAGGCCTATATATATTTTTTATTATGAGTTTTAATAATTTAATAGTTTGAATAGTTAAAAAATTACCAGTTTTAATAGTTCTACCATTGAATTCGATTCAGGTTATTTGAAATTTAAAATTGTTTTTTTGAATAGTATTGTTCAAACATTCTAATTTGTTAAAAAACCTGATGCAGGCCTTGGTGAAGGCCGTTGTCATTAATTTGTTACTGGTAATTAAAGGTTTTGTTGCATATGATCACCTCCAGTAATTCAGAAAGGAGATAGTTTTATCAAACTCTTATTCTGCAATTAAATAGATTAAAGACTTATATAATATTCTTCAGAATTAGTATAAAAAAAAAATACATTGAAATTACTAGATATTGAGAATAAGAAGTAAAACTTCAAATAAAACTGATTTTAATTTAAAAAACAAGTTTTATTAAAATAAATAAACATTGTTCAGAACTACAATTTTCTAATCATTTAAAAAATAAAAATCAAGTATTAAATAAATTTTTTTTATGAGAAAGTGATATTCTGATAACAAGGATATTTTTGTTTGAATGTGATCTTTGATCTAAATATCTCTGTTCAAAGTTTAATTGGAAAATTACTCTTGTGTATCATCAGATATCTAATATTCAAGGAGACAACATATCCAAAAAAGATTTTGTTTCACTAAAACAAGAATTTAAATGCTGAAATTACAGAATTTTTAATGAATGGTATCTATGTCATTTTTTGCCATAAATATCTTATTATGTTTATGAATAATTAATTGATTAAAATTTTTTTTAAATCCAAAAACAAGGAAGAAAAACCTTTTTTCCCTTTGTTAAACAAATTTCAACACTAAACTTAACATTGCTTGTTTATATAATATAAATAAGTGTATATTGAATATTCAAAAACAAATTGTAACTATTTCTTATATAATGGATATTAAAAAAAATGTTAATAAAATAATATATCTGACTGTAGATCAATATAAACTTTTGTGTTTCATATTTATTATAAAAATAATAGTGTAAATATTTTTATAAAGTTTTACACATGTATTAGATTTTCCTAATTTATAAATAAGCTTCAAAATATGTATTATGATATGTATTTGTTGAGGAAATATTTCCTCTACATTACAACTGAATAATGTTAGGTAAATTTGAATTTTGAATATTTCATTCAAATACTTTAATTTTATTATTGAAGAAGACAAACTTTATAAAATTTTTTTTTTGTTAATCAGAACAAACATAAAAAAAACTGGTGGCACAATTTTGTATTTTGAATGTAAGAATGTTACAAATTTTTGATTTATCATATTGGATTACGTCAATTATTTTTAAGCTATCGCCTTGGTAATTCATTGTTGCGATGTAAAGTTGATCATTTACGTTATGCAAGGCCGTTGTTAAATTAGTAAATCTTTTGGAAAGTGTCGACTACATTCTCCAGCCGAAATCAATAACATACTAGAAATTCCTTGCTGTAAATCTTATTGGTTTTTAAAATTTTAAAGTTTTCATTTTATTTTTAAAGTTTTTTCGTGATTATTATTATGACATAAAGATAGTTTAAAATATTTACTTTTAACAAATAACATAAACAATGCAAATAAACTTATAGAATAAACCTCGCTGTTGATGACATTGTTTTTAGCAGTGTAGAAATGATTGGTACATGAATGAAAGAAAAATAAATAATTTAGCAATATTTATGTTATTGACACTCTAGCTGCTGTTTATTTAGTTAAAAATGTTTTTTTTTTTTTTTTATATACTCATTTTAATCAAATTTTATTTAGAGTAGAATTAGTTTTTTAAATATACAGAATAAGTAAAATTATGATTTACTTATATGAAAAATATATTGTAGTTAAAAATAATAATTCAGTAAACATAATAGAGCATGAAATAATAAAAAAAATGTGTTAAATTTTGAAATATTTATGAAATTTAAATCTTTCTATAATAATATTTGTATCATTATGTTATTAGAAAATGATTATTTATTACATTTTTAAAAATATTAGAATATTTAATAAATATCAAAGACTTTTATTATAAATTTCAATGTAATTTGTTACATCAGTTTTTATAACAGAAAACCGTTTATAATTATTTCATTTCCTTTATCTTTGACACAAGCACTTGTAATACTGTGCGTCACTCAATTCTTTATCATTCCTTTGTGTTTCTATTATCTCTGTAGATTTGATTTTGACTTCTGATGATAATGATTTTTCTTTTTTTACAAATCAAATAAATTTTTATTCTGAAAATATTGTACAGTACATATAATTTTATTTTTTAAAATATTTTACCTAATTTAGTCTTTATTGCAAGTCAAAATTAATGAGTTCACAATGACTTTCAATATAATTCATATATTATTTTGTATATTTATTGGAATATTTTATATATAATACTTTCAATATATTTAATAAATGTACAAAATTATATATTAGGAATATTGAAAGCCATTGTAAAATCATTAATTTTGCATTGCAGTAAGATCTAAGTTGTATAGAAAATTTTTCAATATATCTTATTTTATTTAAAAAAAATCAAGAATTAAATTTAAAACTCTCATATAAATTTAAAAAAATGCATAATTTTTCTTTTTTTGATAAAAAGAAAATTAAAAATTGTTTATTTCAGATACAATATGAAATAAATTTCTCTTGGTAGTTAATCCCAATTTGGATAATTTCATTTCAGTTTTTTTTACTGTGAAGTTTAATGTTTTTTTTTCTATCAAAGATGAAATATAAAAAAATTTTTCCTGTCATTCAGAGAAAGAAGGGAAGAACAAGATCGAATTGAAAGGGAGCGATTAGAAAGAGAGAAAGCAGAAAAAGAAATAGCAGAGAGACAAGAAAAAGAAAGGAGAGAGAGAGAAAGAGCAGAAAGAGAAAGATCAGAACAACAAGAGAGAGAAAGATTAGAAAGAGAAAGAGTTCAGAGAGAAGCTGTACAACAGCATTTTGAAGAATCGTTAAGATTAGTAAATGAAAGGGTAACTATTTACTAAGCCTAGCTAAAATCAATTATGAGACATGTGCCTTTCTCCCCAGCTAATTTGCACCTGTTCTGTTCCTATTTCAAGCAGATAAAATGGAACTCTCGGGTTCCAAACAGTTGGAATCCAAATTTACCTTTGATCAAACCCCTGCCAACATCTAATGTAGGTAGATGCAGTCCCGTTGTAACTGTCCATAGTCATGCTATTCATCCTACGGATTCTGACAAGGATAAAAGAGAGAAGATATCTGCAGAAACAAAAGAAAGGTTTGTACTAAAACTGATCATTTTTGTTCTGTGTCAACATTTATTTTAAAAACCAGTTTTTACATTTATTTTTATTCTCAAGAATTGTTTTCACAATTTTGTTATGTTTATGTTAATATTTACTTAAATAATGAAAGGCTTATATGTTTTAAATCTTATCAACTGACAAATATCAATACATACCATTGGACTTTAATTGGATTTATCAAATATTATGAAAGAATAGATATTTTGATTTTATGAATAAGCAATATTTAATTTAAATTTGCTACATCACCAAGTTGCTTCAATTCATTCTGTTCACAGATATATCATGGATATATAAATATCATTAACTCTTAATTAAAAGTTTAAAATTTTGTAAATCATTGTTATTTATTTCTCAAAAATGATGATTAATAATGACATTTTTATTTCACGTGATTACTATTGTCAGACAATTTGACAAAAATTTTTCAATAACAAATTTGAAAATAAATTTGAAATTTAATCCACGAATATCTCATGAATAATCATGCAATTTCTTCTGATTTAGACACAATGCAATAGATCGCTTACGTCAGGATCAAGAGAGATGGATGGTTCTAGTCCAGCAGAGAAATGAACAAGCTGCAGATTTGTCTCATTCTCAGAACTTTGCATTATCAGAGGTAAATATAATTAGGTCATGGCACACACATATATATAAAGATATATAGAGATATACTATATAATTTTAAAATAACACATTTAAAAGTGCCAAAAAACTTTATTTATTTAAATAAATAAATTTTTAGCAACGACCGGGGAGTGTCCATTCAAAAGTGGAGGGCTATCCAGTATCTAGGTCATCTCCTCATCCTTCTAGTGGTACCTCTTCATCCAGTAAATCTGGTATGAGTTCTAGTCCAATCACAGCTACCTCCTCTGCTGCAACAGCACAGCCAAAGCCAGAAGCTAGCTTTAGTCTTTATGGTTATCAGCCATTCCAGCATACTTATATTACACAAGCTCAGTTAAAAGCCAGAGAAGAGAGTAAAAATTCATCTAAGTAAGAATAACTTTAGTTTTTAAATTTATCACAACAATGTTTTCTCATTTTCAAGTTTTTATTTTGATAGTTAATTATGAAATGAATTTCTTTGTAACTAAAATTCTTTTTGCAGCCCAAACAACCAAACGGCACCTCCTGGAAGACAACCAAATCAGTCATCTGCTCATAACAGAGAAAAAGAAGGCAGTATACCATTTGAAAGATCGTCAACCCCAGGTAGTAGTCGAACAAGTACGCCAGGTAGTCAATCATCATCGAGAGATAAACAGCAAATTAAAGTTCCAATGCACCCTATGGGTTCAGAACATGCTAGTCCTGTATACCAGTCAGGTGTTGGAAGCAGTGGAGCTTTCAGGCCTTATGAGTATACGCCACCAAGTCCTGCACCTGCTCATCAAAATACATCATCTCCAAACCTGGGATCAAGAATTGGTGCATCACATTTTCATCATGCTTCCCCACAACAAGAACCTCAAAATCTTGTTAAAGGAGAACCAGCTTGTGGTCCTACAGAAGGATGTTTGCCACAACACCAGCCTTTTCAGAGATATGAATCGGCCAGATCTACGGCATCATCTTCACCATCCATTCAGGTTTCAGGATATAACTCTCCTTATATGACCAAAAATAATATTCCAGCAACAAGCAGTCCGCACTCTTACAACTTAATACAACAAGGTGTAGTGCCAAATCCACTTTATACTCCTTCAAGTAATGGACCAACTACTGTCCCTCCTTGTGTTACAACGGTGACGCACATTTCACATCAAGCTACAAGCCCTCCTTTAGGTCAGACTTATCCCCGTGCAACATCTGGTATAGGCATAACAAGTGGAACACCTGTTTGTAGGTCAAATGTATATCCTTCTACGCAGGGAAGGATATCTTATACACATTCATCAAATTCAAACATTCAGGCAGGTGTAAATCCTAGCAGAACTCCTACTCCACTTGAAACAAATGGAAGATCTCACATACTAACATCAGGAACTTGCCATAAATCCCCATCTCCTGCTCATATGCATAACTTGCCAATGTCTCATACAGGTAATCCCACACCTCCTCCCACAGGAGGAAGAATACCTCCTCCTTCTACTTCACCAAGACTTACGCAGGGCAACATCTTGTTTAATCGAGGAGTTTCCCAGCAGTCAATGCACAATGCTACTTCACATTCTACAACCTTGGCCAGTTCTGCCACAGAGAGTCAGTCACAGCCATTGAACTGTTCGAATAAACGAAAGCCAGTACGAGATGGCAGCAGTCGAAAACGTCAAAAGACTAATGATGACCAATTGATGCCACCACAGTTACAACCACAATATCATATTACTCCTTCAACAACTACAATATCATTATCTCAAGGATCAAGCCCAATTTTGCAGACATCAGGAATCAGTCATCATGGTGCTTCTCAGAACAGTGCTTTAGGAATCATTGCCTCAGAAGCTCCAACTTTAACTCCTCACACAATTAGTCCAACACTTGGCTCTTCTTCAGGTAGTTTAGAATCATATAGTAATGATCAAAATCAGATGTATGATGATAAATTATTAAAAATTAAACAAAAAGCTGCAGGAATTCCTCCAAGTAATTCTCCTAATTCAAAAAGTAATGATTCCCCACCCAAATTATCAAGTTGTGCAAATTTAGCATCACCAGCAAATTCAAATACTTCTAATACTCCTCCAGTCTTAGTAGGTGCAATAAGTAATAGTTCTGAGAACTCTGAAGAAGTGGTTTCTAGCCCAGCACAGACAACTGCTAACAATGTCATTAATGGGAATAGTATCACAACTACTACAGGAAGTACAAATCACACCAAATTAAAGAAAGCATGGCTTCAGAGGCATTCGGAAAATGAAGACAAAAGAAATCCATCAGATAGGAATAAGGTGGAAGTTTCTAAACCTCTTAACAATGGAAATTCTCCAGATAATAGCACATCTTCAGTCACTGAGAAAAATTTGACTAGTAACATAAAAGAAACAAAAAATAATGATAAGGTGCATGGAAACGATGCCAAAAATAGTAAGAATGAAGGATCAAAAGTGCAAGACGATTCCACGAGTTCTGCATCGGAAACCGAACAAGAATTAAAGAATATCAAACGTAAAACTCGTGTCGGTAGGAAACAAACATTAACTACTTGGAATAACAACACGAGTAAGAGACAAAAGGTTACAAATGACAACAACACAAATGAAACTATAAATAATGTCAGTAGCAAAAGAGAAGAAAGTAGAAAAAAGCCATCACCTCCAGAAAGAGATGTATCACGGAGAAGAGGAAGGAAAAATAAAGGAAGAGGGAGTACAACAGATGATTCTAAGAAAAAACTTGGTAAGCATTAAATATTAATCAACATCTAATAACTATTTTTGCAAGAAAATTTTTTTAGATGTTGATACATTTAAAACAAAAATAATAACAGGTAACAAAAAGTATGACATGTATTTAATAGATTATAAATTTCCATCAGGATGATGGAATTTTAACGATATTTTTATGTTTAATATGTAAAGTTTTACTTTGAAATTTGTTATAATACGTTCATCGGAGATATAGAAGAAGATATTATAATTATTTAACAATTATTGTTTATACAAAGCAAGTTTGAGCTTTGTGAAGGTTGTTTGCAAGTGTTTTCTATTAGAATGTAGTCAGTTTTAGATTACACTTATCTGTTTTTGATATAATGTTCCAATAAGAATAGATATATATTTTTAAGATTTCAGAATGTATATTCTTTGCAGCATAAATGATTATATAAATTTCAGTGGTGAATATTATTTTATATGTATGTTAGATACTTCCACAAAATTTATTTTTTTTATGCAAAATTAAATTTTAAATGATTAAACTGTAGTGAACGTTGTCTATTTATATAAAAATTCAATAAAAAATATTTCAAAAATTTATAATCTATGAAAATTTTATTTCTGTAAGATGAAAACTTTTGATAATGAAGAAATATAACTTTTATGTTATGGAATAAAAATTCTGAAATTTTTATTACAAAGAACTAAATTGCTTGATATGAGAAATTTTTAGATTAAGATTAATCTTAAAAAAGTTTGTTATAAAAGTATTTTGCTCACAAGATAAATTGACTGAAAAACTTTATGTAAAATATTATGTATTTACTTTTTTATATCGATTGTTTGTTTCAGTATTGTTGTAAGTTGTGATTCTGTTCGTGTTAATAACAATTTTTTTTAAAACTATTATGAAATCTTATGCTTTGAATTTGTAAATATTTTTAATTCTTCAAAGATCATTTGCATGTTGTTATTTGTTTTGTTAATAGATGTTAATTAACAATTGTGAGCAAAAGTACTTTTGTAAATAAACATATTATTAAAAATTGAACTGCATCTAATTTTATTGCTTTTAGTACTTTACAATCATTTATTAATAGAATATAAATTTAGTAACGCTTATATAAAAGAAAAAGTAGCTGTAGATTAAGTGATTTTTAAATTAATAAGATGTAGATTATGAAATTTACTACATTTTATATAAAAAAGTGAAATAAGAACTTATATATTTCTTGCAAAAAATATCAGAACTCAAATATGACATCTCCTTGCCCTTTGTCAAGTTGAATGAAGTAACTGACAAATCCAAAAGCTAGAGTTCTTCGCGAGTGGGTGGTGGGAATGGATTTGCACAACCACCTAACAGGAAACAATTTTAAATTAGGTGGCACCACGTTAGTGACGTGACCTACCTTGAGCATGGCACAAATAACTATGACAACTAGCGTGTAATAAGAAAAACAGCCTACTCAAAAGTAACAAGAATTTAAGTTGTAGGAGTTTTCTAAATAAAGTATTAAATCTGAATTTAAAAACACCTATACACTAAATTGATTAATATTCATTCAAAAGTTTCAATAAATTTATGCAATTTATCAAAGTCTAGAAACTTAAGCATTACATAATGGACAAGTTGTGTTATTTATTGTAAAATAAACTTTGTTAAGATAATTAAAATCCAAAATATTTTGAAAGAGAAAGAATTTAGTTTCACATGTTGTTATTTGTGCATAAACATAACAGAATCGCTGTTCAAAACTGTTAATGAATAACAGAGATCAAAATCTACAACGAAAACATTTTTTCATCAAGGCAATATAACGTCAATGAAGAAATGCATTTATAACATTTAGTACAATAAAAACGTTAATGATGTAAGAATCAGAGAGAATACCTTGGAATAAATCAGTTGTAGCACATACAGTTCTAATCTGATTAACTTAAATGATGTATAGCCTGGATATGTTCCATAAATGTAAACTAATCAGTGTAAGTTGTAAACTTTAGTCGTTAATAATTAGAGTTGAATCGGTTGTCTGATTGTTACAGTTGTGATGAAACGGTAAAAATTCTGCTCTACCCTCTCCAGCTAAAGAAATCTTCATTAAACCAATCGAAAAACCTTCAGTAGCTCAGTTAAAGAGGACGGGAGAGTCGTTCTTACAAGATGGATCGTGCTACATAGTCGCTCCAAAGCTGCCCAAATGTCGTGAATGCAGAATGACACCAAATCAACGTAACAAAAAGATGGCTAACATCTTCTGCAGATTTTATGCCTTTAGAAAGTAAGAAAATTTCTATTGATTTTTTTTTTGTTTAATTTAGTAGTTCCATAACTTTATCTTCGCATGATTTTTTTTAACAATATACTTAAATTAATATTTAATTCTTCAATGTTCTCGTCAGTTATTTGATTAAATAACTACCAATACAAAATACTTGATATTATCAGTAATACAGTAATATTTGGTAATTTTTTAAAAAATTTATTGTTATTGTTAAATACACATATATTTACGTAATAAATTTACTACTATCCTGCACTAATCTTAAAAAGTACCCAAATAATAAATTAAAAGTTTAAATTTATGGATTTTAATTTGTTCTATGAAAAACATAAACAATTCTCTTGTTATTCCACAAAAGGTGATATTGAATTTAAAATATCTCAAACTGCATAAAGTAAAATATATAATTTTGTACTGGTGTGCATATTTGCAAAGATATATTCAATAGTGAAAACATTTGAATAATATAATTTATTTTAACAATAGTATAATTGCCATTAATTATGTCAAAAGCTGTTATTTTTAATTATTCCAAGTACAATTTATATTAAACAGTTATGGAACTAATTAAATCAAAGTTGTCACTAGGTTAAAATGAAGAAATCTAGCAAAAAATATAGTTAAAACATTTTTGTATTTTATATTTCTTTAAGTTTTGGGTGATATTAGCTTTATTCTTTGAGCTTAAACTATACAGAAAATATTTTAAATGTACAGAATATTTAAAACACGGACTCACAAGAATGGCTCTGATTAGAAACGTTTTAAAATTTGGAGATCATTTTATAACATTTGTCTAATTTCTAAACAATCTCACAATGAGTGAATGTTAATAAAGTATACTTAGTGAACGTTTTGTAAATCTAAACACACAAGAAATAGTCAGCTCTATTTTAAATTTACCATAAAATTTTAAAAGATTAATCCTCTATATGCTACTTTTTTCATTTTTAACTAAATACTGTAATTACAATAAGCAAGTAACTTCTTACAAAAGAGTACTGCTGCAATTATAGATCTTATCACATCTGAAATCAAATATTTCCTATTTTTGTTTCTTTCTGTTTGACCTATTTAGAATTGCATGATGTGTTTACAATATTACTATAAAAATTACAAGAAATTTATTAGTAACTATTTAAAGAATGTTGATTAATGTAATCTAATCTAATGTAATCTAAAACGTATCTTTTGTATTTATCATGTTTTAAAAAAATCAATGACGATAAATAAGAGAGAGGTGTGTATTTTATTTACTTAACAAACAAATCACAGAATTTGAAAGTAATACAATTTGACCAGCAAAAACTATTCAGAATGTATTACTATTGTGTACAGTGAGTAATCATTTTCAATTTTATATTAAACATGAAAATGATTACACAGTTTAGTTGAAAATGTTTAATTTGCATTAATTTATTGTTCATATTAAAGATTATGATTATTTTTTGAAAGTGATACTTTGAAGGATAATATTCTTCCAAATTATTAAAAAAGAACTTTTAATTAAAAGTTTTAAATTTAAATTATGTTATCCAAGAGGCAATATTTATAAAAACAATCTTCTATGATTTTAATAATTCTTTAAATGATTACAAATTACTAAATTCTTCAAATCATCATTTTTACAATAGCATTACAAGAAATGATGACAAATACAAAGTGCTATTTTTTAAATATGAAGTACTGTGCATCTTAATTAATAAATTATTTACTTGGAAACTTATCAGTAACGAGTATTAACAATTTTATCAATATTTTAACAAAGTTTACAGTAAATTGAAAAATAAGAATTAAAAATTTCTAACTGTTTCATTTTTAAATCTTACTCTAGAATTTATTGTAAATTTATTACTATTCCCATGCAATCGATTCCAATTATTTTTTCTATAAAAGTTTGTTGAAGAAGTTGAAAAATTTCCAAAAACTTTAAGGTGAATAAATTTTGATTTCTTAAAAGAAAGAAAAAAAGACAAAAAGTCTTTTATTAATATAAACTGCACAAATCCAAGAAATAGAATAAAATTCAATCTATTATTTAATTTAAAAATTTGTGTATACATTATATAATTTGGAGTAAAATGTAAAATCAGAACAAAATTTATTTTTCTCAATTTTTACACATTCTTAAATCAGTATTCTGACATTTATATTACATCAAATGATACATTTACTTATTATAAAAAAATAATTGAATTTTAATTCTGCAGTTATTATTTAAGCAGTCCAACTAATTATATTTCTTGACCTAATATTTCTTTCTATAAAAACTTTCTTCAATATTTTTGATTTTAAATTTAATGCTTATTTAAACAAATGCCAAAATGCTTAAAGAAGTTGGTATAATAAAGATATTCAAAATTTAATTAACTACAGATTTTTAAATACATTTGAGTAAAAAGCTCTTTTCTTCTCTTATCTAGACTAAGGTACGGAAAGAATGGGACTATTGTCGGAGCCGGATTTTCCGAACCGTCCGACGCCACGGAACAAGATTTAAAACTTTGGCTATCGTGTATCGACGATTCTCCTCCTGAACTGGATGTACATATGTCCAAATATATATTATCTAACATGGGTAGCCAATTCTGCGAAGTTGTCGAACAGGAAAAGGAAGCACAGAGGCTTCATATGTCTAATGGTAATAAAAACATAATTTGTTTTTAATGCAAATTAAAAACTTTCATTAAAATTTTATTTTAATTTCATTTTCAGACACTACAATAACTTGGAAGAGAGTGTTGCAAGGAGTTAGGGAATTGTGTGACGTCTGTGATACCACACTTTTCAACTTTCATTGGGTGTGCCATAAATGTGGTTTTGTTGTCTGTATTGACTGTTATAAAGCCAGGAAGAGCGGTAGTGGGAAAAGTAAGAAATAATTTTTACAGTAAAAGTTTATTAATAAATTATTTTTATTTCTATAGCCATAAAAATAATAATTAATTTTTTTTGTATAGAATCGTCCTTAAAAGGACGTGACGATTACCAGTGGCTCTTGTGCTCCAATAAGCAGGCGCATGAACAAGAGAAGCTGACAATGACGCAAATAATTGCGAGTACCGCTCTTTGGGACATAGGCAAAGCACTTCACGAAGTGCAGTGTAAATGGAATTTTTGCCTTCCCTGTAAATGTAACAATAAAGCTGACTCAGAAGTAAAACATTCCACAAATGGAATTTGTAAAGTAAGTATTTCATGAAATATAGAATAAAGTATATTTAAATTAATTTATATAATTTTTTATTAATATATTTTGTGTTGTTTTTATATTACTTTAAAAAATTCTAGAAATGAAAGAACTGTCAGGGAAAAACTTTTTCTGATAATTCTAAAGAAATATTTCTTTGGAAATATACAGTTTGTAACAAAATTCTGGACAATATTTTAGGGATAAATTATAGGATCAAAAATAAGCTTAAAATCTTCTATAAATATTTCTCAAATTCTGCTTCATTTTCAAGATCTGGCCTGCTAAAAAAGATACTTTTTGAATTTCCCACTGGAGTACTAGTGTTAGTACTTTAACACAGAAGCTATCCCTAAAATATTGGCACCAAGTTTCATTACATCCTGTAATTTGCAAATGGTTGGAAAATTTAAATGTCCAAAAAATAACAAACATTACATTTGGATTATATTATTGTATAAAAGCTTATAATTTCGCTTATGATGCCAAATATGTTATAAAGAAGAAAATGCACACTTTCTTCCTTATTATTTTATAAATATAGGAATATAATAAGTACAATTATTTAACATTATATTATAGTCGTAAAGCAGTATGATGAATTTTCTTCATACTGAAAAGTTTTGTTCCTTTTTTAATTTTAGCTAATATCAAATTTCATAAAAATCAGGAGATTGTTTATACTAAAACTGTGTCTTTCCATATGCTATAATTTATAAACCAAAAATTATATAAATGAATAAATAAAAAAGAAAATATCAGAGAAAATAATGATTTTGATTGTCACAAAAGTTTTTCCAAGATTTAGTCAGTCAATAATTGATGTATTTAAATGTATGCTTCCTCAAAGAATATATTAATATGATAAATTTTAATAAATCTAAAATATATTTATAATTACTTTGATTCAATTAATTAAATCAAATACAGACAGTAATAAAATCAACTATTTTAATACCTGTTCAATTTTGTAAAAATAGTATATGCAATTTTACAGATCCTACCTTAATTTATATTTTATATGTAGTTTATTAGGTTTTAATAGAAATAATTTGAGTCGTTAATTATTTATTGGGCTGCAATTTGAAAAAAATTGTAGACCTATAAATTTCCACTGTTGTCTGTCAGTTCCATTTGTCTGTCTTTTCTCTCTCAAGAATGGTATTAGATAAATGAAATTCAAGAGCAGATATGGAAAGGTTATGGGCAGGAGACTCAAATTAACTATAATGTGACTTCTGGTTTGTATTGGAAGTTCAATTATTTCAATTAAAAACTTTTTCCGAGAGGAGCTAGATAGATGGCCGGCACGACTCCATTTCTAACAGAAAAGTATAATGTACAGTACAGGGGCAAGACACTACAGTACAGATTTGAGGTGGAGAGCATATATTTTGAATGAAATAAATTAAAAATATGATTAAAAATTGCAGCCTGGCATTGTGACGATTTACAAATATTTATAGATTTCTAGTTCAACTGAAACAGAAACAAATATTTTTGATTATAATTGCTATTATATTTTGCTTTCAATTTTTTGAAGTAGAAGTAATTGTGTTAGTAAAAGTTTATTGTATTTTCTTTTGCAGCAAGTGATGAATGCTGTTACAAAATGCTTTACAGACAAGGACCAATTGCAGTTGAATGGATGTCCACAAAACAAAAAGGGAAATGTGAATGGTATGACTAATCTCATCAAACAAGAAGATGGTTATAGTTCAGAGAGTGGTAGTTCGCCTTTGAGTTGGTTGGCTGACGTTGCTTTGAATTCTTCGAGTAAACTTGAAGACGAAAATAAAAGCGTTCAGATAAAAATTAAATCGGAGGCAGATGACGACGACGACGATGATGACGATGACAAAAAACAGACCATCAATTTGGACATGTTGGAAGACGGACTGCACGACGAAGATGACAGCAATGAGAATTTCTCTACTCTTCGTGAATTATTAATAAGACCCACTGGCAAAGGTGGAAATGGAAACAGATCGAATAGAAATTCTATCGGACAAGGGAATGTAAAGACAACATTGAGCGGACTGATTTCTAATATTGTTGAACAGAGGGTCAAGAAACTCGACAAGGAAGGCAAACACTCTTCCCATTACACCCGCCGTCATTCTAAAGACTGTGATTCGGTAAGAGTGGGTTGTTTAACAGACAGTGCAACTCTATATTCGGATGTACCCCATTCCTGGCTCTGTAATGGAAAATTATTATTATTGAAAGATCCCGAAAATGACAATAACATAAAACTGTTTCAAGAACAATGGAGGCATGGAGAAGTAAGTAATGTAATGTTTGCATATATACATATTTGTGTGTGCGCATGCATACATGTGTGTGTTTTTTAATACTTCTAATTAAAACACAAATATTAACACATTATTATTCCTAAAACAATTTATTTTTATTTTCTACATTTAGCCAATTGTGATCACAGATGTCGAAAAGAAAATTGATTTGTCAAATTGGCATCCTGAAAATCTTTGCCAGGAGTTTGGTGATATAAGAAATGATATCATTAATTGCAAAAATGGTGCTGTTATGTCTAATGTGCCCATGAGAAAATTTTGGGAGGGACTTGAAAATTTTAACAGTAAGTTAGTTATACTTACAAGTTAAAGCAACTTATTTTTGTGATTAACTGTTATCTTAACATTATAGAACGTCTTAAAGACGACAGTGGCGAACACATGCTGTTGAAAATGAAAGACTGGTCAGTTGCCGACGATTTTCCAGAAGTGTTACCAGCCTGCTTTCAGGAATTATTATCTGTGTTACCACTGCCTCAATATACACAGCGTGATGGCGTTTTCAATTTGGCTAGTCACGTCCCCAGCTGTTTTATCCGTCCCGATCTAGGACCAAAAATGTACAATGCATATGGTATGTTAATAATTTAAAATAAGCGAGGTAAAGATTTAAAAGAGAAAGTGGGGGGAAAAACTAATGTTCAAAAATTAATTTTAGGTTCCATTCAACATCCCACAAAAGGTACTATTAATATACATGTTGAAACAAGTGATACTGTAAATGTTATGGTCTATGTTGGGTTATCGAAAGATGTAAAAGAGGAAGACAGTATTTATGGTAAGCATAAATTATTTATTGCTATTAATGTAATTTTTCATTGAATAATTAGATGTTGTTCAATTAGATATTTCAAAAACATACGACGAAGGGGGATGCGATTTGCTCATGAAGAAAAGATTAAAAGAAAAAGGAATAAAACCTGGTGCTTTATGGCATATCTATCATGCTCAAGATGCAGACAAAATTAATGAATTTCTTATGAAGGTAATAGTAAATTAACGATCAATAGAGAATTGTGCTATTCTACTGTACACTTAACACATTAAATTTCTTTTAAAAAACAGATAAATAAAGATAAAGGACAGGATTCTACACAGGATCCATTATTAGATCAGACATATTATTTAGACGAAGAACTTCGAAATCGTCTAAGTCAAGAGTACGGAGTAGAAGGTTACGCTGTGGTACAATGTTTGGGAGATGCTATATTTATCCCTGCAGGAGCTCCTCATCAAGTAAAATATATTTATTAGATTTAACAGAATTAATAATGTTAAATCAAGTATGTAAATTGTAAGTAATTATTAATATTTATAATTTTCAGGTGCAAAATCTTCATAACTGTGTCAAAATCTCCAAAGAGTTTGTTTCACCAGAAAACATTTCCCAATGCTTTAAACTTATTCAGAAATCTCAATCGTCTCTGGATTCACGTATTATGCACGAAGATAAATTACAAGTGAGTAGAAATAATAGAATAATTGTAAATGATCGGTTATGAATGTTTTTAACAAATACTGTATATTGATATTTTATACAGATTAAGAACATTATATATCATGCTGTGAAGGATGCTTTAGAACAATTACAAGAAAATGACCCAGAAGACTACCAAACATGATTTATGAGAACAATTAAATGATGTTTTGAAGTTCAATTTTTTATGTCCAAGACAAACTCCCATGGATGGACTAAATTATGCTGAAGGCTGGCCTTTGCAACAATTCTTAAGCCTGGGAGAAATGTGCAATGTTATTTTTTTTTTATATTATTTTTAAGTGCGACATCTTCCTATGTATCGGTCTCCGGATATCTTTGGAACAGACTCGCCGTGCCATGTTTACCTTATTGGCCATTATATGGCCAACTAATGAATATCTCCCATTAATGTGTATTTACTCTTTGTGGCAGAAATCTGCTGACATCAGGTGAAGTACAAATATTTGTCCAGTTTCATAATTTCCCAGGAATGCCTATTTGTTTCCTCACAATATATGGATAAACTTTTTGTCTTCAATTGTTGCAGTGAGGAATTTAAAAATTCATGTTATTGACTTTGCTTATTTATATTGATTTTTAAAAGTGTTAGATGCTCAGAAATATCTATCTGAACTGTTTGCTGTGTTATAAAGAAAAAGAAAAAAAATAAATAAAAAAGTTGGATGTTGTGGCTTAATGTCGTGTGAAGTAAACAATGCAACCGACTTGTTTCTGTTAAGATATGGAGAACTGCGTACTTATGGGATACCATGAAACTACCACTTTTGTGTCTAGGTATGAACTTTCATTCCTTTATATAAATACTGTTTGACAAAGATATGCCTCTCTATTCCTTTTTGCATAAGTTGGCTGTGCCAGGGAAGATTAGGAGAGAAATTGGTAGTAGTGGTTCCTAGAGTTTAATTAAAGCTACGATTTAATAGGGAATTAATATTCTCGTCAAACATTTTCCTGCACTCGATTTTAATGCTGGCCAAACGTTATCCAGTGTTTTGTATTATACTGATTTATAAACTCCATGCCGACAGTCGGACGAGTCTACGAGAAGCTCGCATCGAGTCGCAACGAGCATCGCTTGTAAATTATTCTTTATTATCTGCACCGTAGTCCTATTGTTTGTTCGGTGTTTCTCGAGCCGGCATCTGATCGTTAACGCGACGTCGAAGTCGGGTGCATTTGCGGGTGCAAAGAAACCTCTTCGTTATTTATGTTGCAGTATTCATCATTTTTGAGTCAAGCAGCAGGCATTCTTGTACATTTTAAAGGGAGAACACATTGTAAAATAAATCAGTTTTGTCCACCGGAGAGTGTTCTGCCTCCTAGTGCCAGCTACAGCCACGACCGTGATTGTTTTTCATTCGGATTCATCTTTATCTATCTAATTCTTTCTCCTACGAAGCTGTTGTAGTTTGTTGAGTGGTTCCCACAAGCGGGAGAACATGTAATTGGCATCACCTTAGTTTGTACTTGTATATATTTCATAGCAATATTTTTATATTGAAAATGTCATCATGACCTGTAAAACATGTCTGTATATGTACCAAATCCTGTTTTTATTTGACAATGTATGGCTAATGTTGCTGGTTCATATTAAAGTGCTGACAGAAGAGAATATTTTTGTTTTTTTGTTTTTTTAATCTAAATGTATTATTCATATGTTTTTAAAAAATTTAATTGCTAACTTTTAACTAATAAAATAGTTTCTTTCTTGGTATATTTAATTAATAATATCAAAACAAGACATAAACTTTGGTTAGCTCTTATTCATATTTTACATAAATTCACCTTTTTTATGTTAAAGATTAAAATATTTTACATAAATTAAATCACTTTTAGAATAAATTTATTAGGACTTTTCTTGGTTATTTCTCTTGAAAATTAAAAACTTTTGCTTTAGAGAATGCTCTAATTGTTAAACAGGCATTTGAAAGATAATGCCATCCTGCCAAATTTATTTAATAATAAAATTGCTACTTTTTAAATTAATTAATCAAATATTTTATTTTAATTTACTTGACAAATGCCAAGAACTAATTGTAGCTTCAATATTCTTCTTCAAATGAAAATCTTTATTAAAAACTGACAAACACAAAGTCTATATCCAATGTGGAACTCAATCCTGCAAACTAGAAAACCAGAAGTACTGTATATCAAATTCTGTTATCAGATCAACAAAATTATCTATTATCTTGCTACCGAACTCAGACACAATTCACTGAAAAAAAATAAAGTTTAAATTTTATGATAAACTAGATTTATGTAATTCATCTTACTCAAATTTTTCACAATTATTTACTATAAAATCTAATTCTTAGTTTATATTGAAAAACATTGTACAGTCGACCCCCCCTATAACACTGTTGATAATTCTGTTTTATATGAATTCCATGTTGTACGAGTCACCTAGATTTTACAAATACGTGCCGGGCTGTGAACGGCTCATGTATTTGTAAAATCTAAGTGACTCGTACAACATGGAATTCATATAAAACGGAATTATCAACAGTGTTATAGGAGGTTGACTGTATAATAATTAACTAATCCTGACATTCTATTGTCCTATTTTAAAAAATTAATCCAAAATATAATTAAAACTAAATTTTATATTTTTTAATATCTTTATTCATATTTATTGATTTGTCCAATATGAATGAATTTTCTTTTCTTTTTGAAGAATGATTTATAGAATTACATTATTATTAATGAAATTTCTATGAAGTTTGTCTTATGGTTAAAAATATAAATTTGAAACATGAACAATTGTCTTCTATCAAATACTTAATTACAAATATTGAAAAGCAAATATTTCAAAACATTTAGAAACGTTATCTGTTTATACATTTCTCACCAGATTTTAATTAATTAATTAATTTCTTCATCTTTCTTTCTATATGCAGATACCTACATTATTAGCTAAAATGTTTGATTAGAAACTTCAAAACTTTCACTTCACTTACCTAATTAACATTCAGACCCTGTATATATATAGTATATATATATACTTGGTTACATGGTCTGATTATATATATATATATNCTTAAATAATATCAACGTGTTTAGTGTGTCAATGAAATACTGGATTTTACGCCACTTTGTTGTCAAATTTAATCACTGTCAGTCCATGTTGTTTGAAACCTAAATCCTTGAGAATTCCCTGACAAGAGAATATTTCAAAATTAAATTTCTTGAATCTAAACAGGCACAAACTTTAACAAATAAAATTGCAGCTTGAATGAGTTGAAAACATTATCAGAGCTGTAGAAAATGCTCATAGGAGTAAAAAGTCAAAAGAATGGATGGGCTACGTGTCCTCTTGCAAGATATAGCCTATAAACGTGATGGGCTTAACAGAGTGCCATTCTGATTCCAATTGTGCTCTGGAAGTAGTTGATGCAATGGCGTTTCTTCTATTTTATGAGCTTTTAGCCATCTCTAGTAAAGTGAAAAACAGCTGATTGTTAGCATTCATTTGAGAAATAATGACAGATTTTTTCACTTTTAAGTTTTACTCCATTTTTGAGGGTCCAAAATTCCAGATAAACTGATTTTGGGGGGCTATATATATTGTGAATGGTCACATGTCAGTTCCTTTGACTTTTTTTTTATTCCTATGGACATGTTCTAAAGCACTGATAAGATTCCAACTGCTTTATTCAGAGCTGTAATTTTAACCTTTAAGATTCATTCAAATCATCTACTATACTCAAATCATCTACTATACTAGAATTATATTAATTATGGAGATTAAATGAAAAAAACAGTGTAAATTATAAGATCTTTAAAATATTAAGTTACTATATCAATATCTTATTACAATACAAAAACCCTATATTTTAGTTTTAGCAATGCTAATAAACATGTGCTTAGTACCAAATATAGAAGTAAAATTTGTTATTGTAATCACTTTGTGACTTGTCTTTACTGATAACAATAAGCAATTTATTAAATAAGAAAACAATTAACAAAAACTTCTGGTTTTATTGATGTAAAAAATATATTAATGGTCATATTCACCAGCAAAAATTAAGAGTTAGAGTTAGAAGTTAACCAATAAGCATTCACTTGCTAAAAGTAAAGTGAATGGTAATTGGTTAACTTTTCAATTTTTAGTTCTTGGTCATGAATATGGCCATAAAACGAAAGTGTATAACATAAAAATTTATTATTTATAATTATCATTATTAATGTTATTAACATTTTGTTATATTATAGCAATTATAATTATTAAATTTCCATGATTACAATAAGTGGATCTACCGTATTAAGAAATTAAAATATAGTATCATCTATTATTTAAGATTTATCAAACAAATAAATTTAATGATGAATGCCTAAGATTTTGATTAGTTATTGCATTTTCAACATTATGACAATTTACCCTTGTTATCATTAATTTAAATAAATTGTCATTGTATGATACAGTGATAATTTATTTATATTAGTAACAACAAAGATGAATTTATTTAAATTAAATTTTGGTTGTTACAATTTTGCATAATTTCTTTATTGATTTCTAATCAATAAAGAGAAATTATGTACTGTATTTCTGTGCATATAAGAGCATGCTCTTATAGATTGTGCAATATAATGGCCAATTTTGTCCTAAGTTCTTAAAAAACTCATTTATTTTGGTGTTTTATTTTTATAATGGTACTACAGTGATGTCATTGAGTAATAACTATATCAATATATTTACATTTAATTTACATTTACACAGCATGTACAAGCAATGTATATGATCTTATAAGCAAAACAGGATGTGTGCTGCAAAAATGTAAAACCAAGTGATTTTACTTATAAGCTCATGTGCTCTTATATGTGCAGAAATACAGTAAATGGACACAATATGGAATATGCAAAAAGTTGATTATTATTCAAACAGTATTTGTTTTTCTTTGCCTATAGATCTAAATGTGCTCACCTAAGTGGATAAAACCACTAATACTGGTAGTTGGTCACAAGTTTGTGCCTGACCACTAGGCTGGCCATGTAGACTTTTCTGATTTTCCTTCACATATCTAACAGTTAAATAGTGACCAGTTTCCCAAAGAAAGTCCTCCCAGAAGATATCTCCCTTGATAGATTGCTTGTGTATCATGTTGCCATATACCACCACACCAAACCAAACCAAGATCTATAATTATTACAAATTCTCTTTATCAACTTTTTCCATCCCTTAATTAAGGTTCTTGCCAAACTATAAATATAATTTATAATGAATATTTTACAAAACTGCAAATAAATTAATTGTTGGATTTTCTAATAATAAATTATTTTCTTAACAGGATTTTATAATATTAATAGCTATTTATTGACATATACTTTGATGGAAATTGCTGTAAGTTGGGCACTATGTTTAGAACAGAGCAATCTTAGAAATAAAAGTTAAAAATAATCAAAATATAAATTTTAAAAAATTGCACTTGTTTTCATGAAAAAATTTATAATACAGTACAATATATAACAGAAAATTTCTAACATTTTTTTTCTATAATTTAGAGAGAAGCTAATGAATTTTTTATGTATATATTGTTGAGTTGTATTGGAATAAATGTGATATGTTTAACGTTAACAAACTGAAATTAAATGCTAAAAAGGAAGAGAAAGAAGATCTTTCTCTCTACAAAAGTTCAAAATTCTTCAACAGAACAAGCATGTGGTCATTCTGTGCATGACCATTTTTGACAACCAGTGTAAGTGGTGCCAACTGTACAGTGATGTACTGCAGGAAGAGACTGAGGCACATTCATACAATGCTCCCACTTGCTGAGATGTCTCAGATTACAATAAACATAAAGGCATAAATAGCACCAAAAAAAATCAATAATTATGAAATTAGATTTACAATTTCAAAATTTTATTGCAATTATTAATAAAAGTTTCTTTCCATAGTGGTTTTGTCAAGAAATCCGCTAATTGCTATCCAGTATCAATGTGAATCAGCTATCCTTAATGAGTCCATGAGAGTAACGAAACTTAATTAATATCAACGTGTTTAGTGTGTCAATGAAATACTGGATTTTACGCCACTTTGTTGTCAAATTTAATCACTGTCAGTCCATGTTGTTTGAAACCTAAATCCTTGAGAATTCCTTGTACCCAAACAATCTCTTTGATGGCGCATGAATCACTGTATATTCTGTGTCAGTTGTTGAAATTTCTATTACAGTTTGCTTGTGACTAATGCAAACAATAGGACCTCTGTTGAGCATAAGCATCACACCACTTATTGACTTACAAGTATCCATACAAGCAGTATAATTGGCATCACAAAATGCAACTAATTTATTTTGATTGCTGCTGACTGTAAAAAACTTGATGCTATATCAACAGTGTCACTAAGATAATGCAACATGCACTTTGCCACATTCAAATGAATCACAGTTGATTTTTCAAGAAATTGGCTCAACTTGTTGACAACATGCATCCAGATATATGCTATATCTGGATGCATGCCCATGGCAATATACATGAGTCTTCCAATAACTTGTCTATGAAAGGTTATGAAAGGTAATATATGGTTGATTACTTGTTTTGTCTACAATTTTCTTAAGCACTGTGTGTGGATCAGCTGGTATTGCAACTACATTGCAATTTATCATTTTGAAATGC